GATGATTTAGAGATTCGTTCAGTGTATCTTTGCCGTGTGGCCAAACCACCAATGTGTCATCTACATATCAAAACCAACTCTAAAATTGAATGGTTACAATGATGCACAAATCAAAAGGACAGTGAATGCCAAACCTAAATTAAATAACAAGAGCATTAAAACTGACCAAGTAATTAAAACTATCCAAATATTGTACATTGCGGGAGCAACTGATAAACTAGCCAGATGTTTTTGAAAAACAAAACATCCGAGTCAGATTTGGCACGGTATATAAAATACAGAAATTTATATCTGGTACAAAAGATGTATTACCGAAGATATCAACAGAAGGTGTGTACCGGATTAATCGCACTTGTGGCAAATGCTATGTTGGGCAAACAGGGCGAATGATCCCAAATACAACTGTCAGCAGTGGCAGAACATGTGTGCCAACAAGGACACAATTGATTTTGATAATGTAGTTCTGTGCAAAACTAGTTACTACTGGCCAAGACCAATTACAGAATCTATCGAAATTGAGAGAAATATAAATAATTGTAACCGTTCAGATAGCTGCAGACTTAGTGCTGATTGGAAGCAAATAATAAAATAATACATTGTTTAAATGCATGCCTATACTGGTCGCCATACTTCAATAGGGATTACCGTTGGTAAGGATATTTTAGTACACACAATCGACAGGAAGTACAAAAACAGTGGGCTTGCATAATTAGCATTCATAATGTATGTTGATCAATTACCATATAAATAACCCAAACGATAATGAATACCCGTAGTTATTTATATGTATTGATTATTCCCCCCCCCCACTTCACTCAAGAAGAGCGCACATGTTTTGTCATCACATCTACCCCTCTATTTAAGAAACTAAACAGGAGGTCTTCTCCACAAATCTGTATGTCGCCTGATGAAGCTGGTTGTAATTACTGGTGAAACGTCATACTCAGATTGTAAATGCTGTGGCTTGGCACTCTTAACACACCGGTGTGCTGTACTAGTAACGAATTGGCACGTTCTGTTTACGTGACAAACCTTACTAATTTGCTGTGTTGACTGGTGGCGGTTTTAACAACAAAAAAAACTGTATTATGAAAATTCTGGATAGTTTATCAGTTACTCTGCAATGTACGGTCTTTAATAGTTTTAATTACTTGGTCAGTTTCAAACTCTTGTGTTATTTTATTTGGTTTTGGCATTCAGTGCCCTGTTTATTTGTGCATCATTGTAACCGTTCAATTGCAACGCTGCTATAACATGCTTAATTTAGTTTAATACGTAGGCTTTCGCGACCAATATTCATAATAAACTGTTTTGGGTTAGATCGCGTTATTTATAAATGTGTCACAACCCTCCACCCGACACAGCCAATCAGCAAAAAAAGTGTCACGTTGACAAAAGACATAGTTCACTACTTTAGCCCACCGGTGTGTTGAAGAGTGAATCCACAACATTTGCAGTTTGAGTACGACGTTTCGCTGGTAATTACATCCAGCATCATCGGGCAATTCTCCAGAATGGTAAAGCCCTCGCTTGCTCCCGGTCTTAAATAGAGCAGCAGGGTGACGTCATCATTTAACTCATTTCAGGTGCAGTGATTTGAGGCAGAGGGGGGGTATTATAATTATATAATCGATTGGTAATCAGTCAATGGTTATGATTAGTAATGAGTTGTAGATTAGTAATTAGTTGTAATGTGTGTTATTGTGATTATATGCTACGTTAGTAATCCGTTAATTAGTATGTGTTTCCCCTATAAGGAATTGTAATATGTATTATTTAATAATAATATGTAAATGTTGTGGATTCACTCTTCAACACACCGGTGGGCTAAAGTAGTGAACTATTTGTCTTTTGTCAACGTGACACTTTTTTTGCTGATTGACCGTGTCGGGTGGTGGAGGGTTGCGACACATTTATAAATAATGCGATCTAACCCAAAAACCTTTATTATGAATAATATTAGTCGCGAAAGCTTACGTGTTAAACTGACTAACCTCTATGGGGAGGATACTTTTCTTAAAACCAGAAAGTTGAAGAAGCTCCGCATTAAGCGGATGAAATTGATATCTTCACTGGAGTTCCTCAAAAGGTGCAGAGATTCAAAGGTAATACCAAACGCAGTTAAAATAACACATCACATAAAGTCTTTTAAAGCTAACCAAATACTACACAAAGTTAGCAAATTATTATTAATAGAGAGAATACAGCACAACAGGAGTGAATTATCTTACATTTCGGAATCGCTAAAGCAATAACACTTAGATATAAGCAATAGTGTATCTATGGATTATTGGAATATAATCGATACCATAACACAACAATCGGAAGATAATGTGTTTAATCTAACAAAAACTTACCAAATGAATACATTTTCTAGACTTCATAATCAACAAATCCCTACTAAAAACGAACTATTTAAAAACAAAACCGTAATGAACTTGACTAACACTGTTTTAACCAGTGACATGATCTCTGTCCTTTCTAAAGGCCTTAACTTTGCCGTTACCCCACGCACAATTCCAGATGACTAGACACGAGGTTGCCAAAATAATTGAGAATAGCAAAGTTCCACAAGTAAATATTAGCTCTAACGAAGCAAAAGCTTTAAGAGAGCTGCGTGTAAATAAGGATATCCAAATCCTGCCAGCTGATAAAGGCCGCACTACTGTAGTGATGTCACGAGCCGATTATGATAATAAAATTAGAAATTTACTAGAGGAAAGTACCTACATTAAAATTAAACAAGATCCAACTAATACTTTAGAACGTAAGACTACTGCAATAATTGCAAATTCATTAATCCCTAAGAATGAGCAAAACCAAAATAAACCAAGGGCCTCAAAACCACCTAGACTGTATGGGCTACCAAAGATCCATAAAATCGGCATCCCATTCCGACCCATAGTACAATTGGCTCTGCCACATAAATTAGCAAAATCTATAACTAAACAATTGCAGTCCTACATCGGTAGGACATCTTCATTCATAAGAAATTCAGAACATCTTGTGAATGTGATTAAAGATATTAAACTTAATCCTAATGATATTCTGGTAAGTTTTGATGTGATTTCTCTATTCACTAAGGTTCCAGTGAACGAATCGCTTAAATTACTTGATACACTAGTAAAGAATACAGGTTTACCAAAAGATATTCTGAAACTTGCTGACCATTGTTTAAATAACACTTCTTATGGAGAGGGGATTTCTTTAAACAAAAGGAAGGAGCAGCAATGGGCTCTCCTTTATCCCCTGCTATAGCATATTTGTACATGGAAAACATTTAAATAAGAGCACTTGCCTCAAACACTTTAAAACCATATTTTTGGTTTAGATATGTGGATGACACTTTGCTTGTCTGGCCACATGGTAAAGATACAATTAATGATTTTCTAAATCATTTCAATGCACAAAACCCAGCCATCCAGTTCACCATGGAAATGGAGGTGAATAACACACTCCCGTTCCTAGATATTTTGCTTGGACATGGCCTAAACGGTAAAATAACACAGCGTTTACAGAAAGCAAACGCACACTGATGCCTATCTGAATGCAGATTCGCATCATCATCCAGCTCAGAAATCCTCTCTTATCAAGACGCTCATACATCGGGCTAAAACAGTGTCAGATGGTGAAAGTCTAGTGAGAGAGATCAAACACGTTACAGAAGCACTACGACAGAATGGCTACAATAATGCTCAAATTAACAGAGCACTGAATGCCAAATCACGATCGCAAAGCAATACTGCTGAAATCGATCAGATTGTTAAAACAATAAAAATTCCATATATCTCAGGAGTAACTGACAAATTAGTCTGTGTTTTGCAAAAGCAAAACATTACAGTAAAATTTGGTACAGTACACAAAATTCAAAAACTAGTATCTTGCACTAAAGACGCATTGCCTAAATTATCAACAGAAGGTGTATATAGGATTAATTGTTTATGTGGCAGATGCTATATTGGACAGACGGGACGTAATATCAGCATAAGATTAAAATAATATCAAAGAAATATTAAATTATCTCAAACACAACTGTCGGCAGTGGCAGAACATGCTTGTCAAAAAGGACACTCAATTGATTTTGATAACGTTGAAGTGTTGTGTAAAACTAATTATTACTGGCAAAGACTAATTAGAGAATCCATTGAAATTGAGAGGAATAGAAATAACTTTAATCGCTCTGACAGCTACAGGCTTAGTGCGGCTTGGAAGCGTATTATTAAATAATACATATTACAATTCCTTATTGGGGAAACACATACTAATTAACAGATTACTAACGTATCATATAATCACAATAACACACATTGCAACTGATTACTAATCTACAACTCATTACTAATCATAACCATTGACTGATTACCAATCGATTATATAATTATAATACCCCCCCCTCCGCCTCAAATCAATGCACCTGAATGAGTTAAATGATGACATCACCCTGCTGCTATATTTAAGACCGGAAGCAAGCGAGGGCGTTAACATTCTGGCAAATTGCCCGATGATGCTGGATGTAATTACCAGCGAAACGTCGTACTCAAACTGTAAATGTTGTGGATTCACTCTTCACACACCAGTGGGCTAAAGTAGTGAACTATTTGTCTTTTGTCAACGTGACACTTTTTTTGCTGATTGGCCGTGTCGGGTGGTGGAGGGTTGCGACACATTTATAAATAACGCGATCTAACCCAAAAACCTTTATTATGTTTAATTTAGCTTCTCAGATTATCACCATCTGATACTTTCTTAGCCCGATGTATGAGCATCTTAATGAGAGAGGGTTTCTGTGCGGGGTGATGGTGTGACTCTGCATTCAGAAAGGCATCAGTGTGTGTTTTTATGTCGGTGAATGCTGTGTGTTATTTTACTATTTCAGCCGTGCCCGAGCAGAATATCCAGAAATCGGAGAGTTCTGTCAACTTACACTTCCATGGTAAACTGGATAGATGGGTTTTGCGAGTTGAGATGATTTAGAAATTCGTTCAGTGTATCTTTGCCGTGTGGCCAAACCACCAATGTGTCATCCACACATCAAAACCAACTCTAAAATTGAATGGTTACAATGATGCACAAATCAAAAGGACAGTGAATGCCAAAACTAAATTAAATAACAAGAACATTAAAACTGACCAAGTAATTAAAACTAGATGGGCGGGTTTTCAAGTTGAGATGATTTAGAAATTCTTTAAGTGTATATTTGCCATGTGGTCAGACCACCAGTGTGTCATTCACATATCTAAACCAAGCAAAGGGTTTTAGTGTGCTTGAAGCTATTGTTTTTGCTTTAAAAAATTCCACGTATAAATTTGCAATCACAGGAGACAAAGGAGAGCCCATTGCTGCTCCTTCCTTTTTATAGAAATAATCTTTCCACAAGAAATAGGTGTTCGTAAGACGGTGTTCAGCTAGTCGTGGGATATCTTTGGCAAAACCAGTGTTCGTTTCCAGAGTATCGAGTAATTTAATTTACTTGTTGACCGGAACTCTGGTGAACAAAGAAGTCACATCAAAATGTACAAGATTTTCATTAAGGTTAAGCTTAATATCTTGAATTATATTTAAGAGATGTTCTGAGTTTTTAAAGCCCAAAAATGTGAATTGTATGTATAAAAGCTCTCAATGCATGATGCGAAACCACAGGTTCAAAAGAACTGAACGTGTGGCCATTTTGTCTCGAATACGTTTTTTGAGAGCCCTTGTACATGCAACACACTGCTCCGTGTGTGTTTGTTTTGTTAAATCTATTTGCTTTTCTGGCCTGCCGTAATGCTTGTTATTGGTTCTCATGATTTAAAGACTTCACAACTAATAAAAAAACAAACCATCCTCTAATTGCATTTCACAGTTGCGAGCTTTTTCCGCCCATCTGTCTTTAAAATTGGGCTACTGTTTTAAAAACGGTGACATCAGTTTTTGGGCAGCAATTCGTTTCTTTGGTTATCAACGCATCTTTTGTAACAGTGGGGGCCCAGTGGGAAGTCAAAAAAGGAAAGCAGCTGCTGATGTATCTGCGCTGATACCTGGTGTTGTGGCTGCCATGGGCGTAGTGGATGTAGTTGTTGTAGTAGCGGTGGTTGTAGTAGCGGTGGTTGTAGTAGCGGTGGTTGTAGTAGCGGTGGTTGTAGTAGCGGTGGTTGTAGCAGCGGTGGTTATACCTGACCGGATGGTAATGATAACCACCGCCTCGCCCCAGCCCACAGAGTTATTGGCCCAGCAGGAGAACGACCCAGAGTCTGACTCCACTAGCGGCCGCTCAAAGGACAGGGAGTTGCCGCTCACAACTGTCCCGTTGGGCAGGGAGCCGGCTTGCCTAAGAGCAACCACACCACAACACAGGGAGCACGACACACGGTGAGCATCGTGTGATTACACTGCTGCAGAAACTGCGAAGAGAAATGTAATTAGATGTACAGTATGTATGTTAAACTTTTTTTGGACCATATTGGTAGCCAACCGTGGTAATCTGTGGTGCGGGACAAGGAGAACAAACTAAACACAAGCAGTTCTAAAGAAATTAGTTTTCAATCTAGCAGTATGGCAAAACATGTTGCATAACAAACACGGAATAGGGGGTGGAAGAACTACATCTAGTAACTGTTTGAGAAAGGGCTGTAACAATGGCAACTACAGTCACCTCGCGTTTTATGCGCGTTTATGTAACGCGATTGTGAAATAGCGCGTTTGATTAATTTACACTTATTTTAATTTTTCGCATACTATCGTTGAAATGACGTGCTCTACCGGGTTGGCCATGGTGTACGGGACACGCTTGCGAGCTCATCGTTAGTCAGGCAGCAAAGTTCAGTAGCAATGCTGCCTGAGGTGCAGCAGTATGACAACAACCACAAGCGTGGGAAGCGGCAACAGCATCTCATTCTCGCGTGCTATTTTGAAGATCTTGTCCACGTGAACTTTTCCTGATGCACACATTCGAACATGCCATCATCTCCATTACCATCATCTCAATTACCATCATCATCCTGCCCTCTCTCTCTCCAGTAATCCCACCAATTTTCTCAACTCCTACCCTCCACAAGGCCCAGTTACGCCACCACATTCAAACGTCTCACTACGTGTACAAAAAATGTTGTTTAATTTTTTATTTTTTATTTAAATAGGATGTTGCTATCTGTAATACATGTATGGTAGTATTGCAAATATAATGTATGGTAACCGGTGAAATATGTGGATGTGAGAATGGGGTTCGATAGTCTGCTCTATCCTTAACTCCAACCGATTTTGAGTTACACGCCATAAAACAAGAGGTAGCTGTATTGACAGTTTCTTGCGGTCCCTTACCTGTCCCACAGGTAGTGCATGATGTTAGGGTTCGCGTCTGCTTCACAAGTCAACGAGGCTGCTGCCTTATCCACGTACCAATCGCCATCATAGCCAGCGATACTCACATTTGGTTTGTCTGCGAATGGAGGCACATGCACGAGTCCATACACGTTGCCCTGGTCGCATTCACGAGCAAACTTCGGTTATAAAAGTGGCGAAAAATCAATTGAGGGATATTCAGGACAAAAAATAAACTAATTTTGATGAACTCTCATCAGAGGCAACTGTAGATTTCACAAAAACGTAGCCAGGGGGTTATCCACTGCTACAGGACGTTACATCATTACTCCAATGTATCCGCGTTTTTTTCTTCAGCAAACACCTCACGTCCCAAAGATCTGAGGGCAGGGGGCAGGCATGGTGCAGCGCACTCATCACAGTGTCACCCTCCAACATTATCACGGTCATTGTTACTCTTGCATGATGTACGTATGTACTGTCTGTTGAACTTCTTTCTCACCGTACATAGCCAACCGTGCTAATCTGAGATGCGGAGGAAAAGACAACAGACTAAACACAAACATCTATTAGAAATAAATTAATTTTCAATCTATAATAAGAACGTGGAATGTTTAGAATTGACTCAGGGATGCTAATGGAGATGACCACCAATCTAAGCTCATTCAAACACATTCCCGCGGAGGGAGGTGGTAGGAACGTTGGGTTGCTTGGTCAATTTACAGGTTCAACGGCGGCGTGGTGTATTTCGTAAATATGCCCGACTGTGAGGGCGGGCACAAGCCGGAGTGAGTAGGTTAAACGTTGCGTTTTATAAGGGCACCACGGGGTGACCAGCTCCTCCCCAGCCAGCCCCACCCCTCCCACCCCCCACCCAGCCCCACCCTCCCCACCCAGCCCCTCCCCACCTTCCCCTCTCCACCCAGCCCCACCCCTCCCATTTTTGCATGCACGACGGACAGACGGACACAATTATCCCCTGTGGGCTGGTGGAACCAGGAGGTTCCTACCAGTAACAAAACGCGACAACCAGACTTTCTGACATTCATTTATAATGCCCACCACTCACAATGGATGTCGAGGGTGGTCGAGAGCTCTACTAGAGGTGGCTCCAGGGCCAGGTGCTCCACCCCGCAGGTGAGGGTCCGCCCCTGGCTCTCGTGCGTGGGATCCATCCGGTACTCGCTCCTCACCGTCACCTTGCCGTCCAGCTCCGTCTCTGTGGTCTCATTGGAGCTGCCCTGATCGAGGCCACTCCAGGTGATGGTGGCTGCGGGATGTCCTTCCCGAGCAACGCACGTGGCCACGATCACCAGCCCCATGTCCTCGACCAACTGGGATGGGTTCAACTCCAGGGAGACGTTCGGGGGAACTGGGGCACAGAGAGACAGAGACACAGAGAGACTGTTAAATAACAGTTAAGTGCTGCCCTCTAATGTGTGGAGCAGACGTCACTTAAAGTAGCCTGATCTCTAAGAAGAGACGCAATTACTGTGGGAGATACAAACTGATTCTTAAAAATTATATTATGGATCACCTTAGCCAGAGATGACACGCCCCAATAGTACAGAAAGACCGATGGACAAATGGATTACTGAATCTATCTGTGTGGAACTTTGAGCATTATCCCCTTGTATGTGTGGGTATTCCCCAGGTACTCTGGCTTCCTCCCACACAAATACAAACACTCACTACGGGAAATGGCCAAACATGCCTGCACAGGACCCTCCCTAAACAGACGCCTAAGAATGAAAGAGACTTTTCTGGGTAAATAATGGGCATTGTTACTCTTGCATGATATACTCGTGTAAGTTGAACGTCTTTCGCACCATATGTAGCAAACCGTGATAATTGGAGGTGCGAGGGAAGGACAACAAACTAAATACAAAAACAATTCTAAAGAAATTATTTTTCAATCTATATTAACGTGGAATGTTTAAAATGGACTCATGGCTGCCAATGGAGACGACCACCAATCCAAGCTCATTCAAACATCGCGACAACCGGACTTTCTGACTTTTTTTTTAACATGTCCACTACTCACAGTAGATGTTGAGGGTGGTAGGGAACTCCACTGGAGACTCGAGGGCCGGGTGCTCCACCCTGCAGGTGAGCGTCCGCCCGTGGCTCTCGTACGTGGGATCCATCTGGTAGCGGCTCCTCACCGTCACCGTGCCTCCGGGCTCCGTCTCTGTGGTCTCATTGGAGCTGCCCTGATCGAGGCCACTCCAGGTGATGGAGGCTGCGGGATGTCCTTCCTGAGCAATGCACGTGGCCACAGTCACCAGCCCCATGCCGTCTATCAAGTGGGATGGGTTCAACTCCAGGGAGACCTTCGGGGTAACTTGGGCACAGAGACACGGAGACGCGGAGAGACAGAGACGGTTACATAGTTAAGTGCTGCCCTCTACTGTGTGGTGCAGAGCTCACTTAAAGGAAGCTCAGAGGTCGCTCTGTTATCTGCTTCCATGGACTGTTCTCGAACAAGAAGGGATGAAGGTTATATTCGCCGTGCCACCAAACGGGAATTTAGCAAAGCAATGGCAACACTCATGGAAGTGAACAGGAATCAGAGGATTACCGAGAAAAATGTGGACTGTTGGAGTGGAGTAGGAGGCACTGGAATGGAGAGGAATGACATGGATTCATCAGCCGCATATAATGATGATGATGGCCACCAGTGGAGGACTTCTATGGGAAGTTGGTGGACCCAGTGGCCTCTATGAAGAGTGGGAGGGTTGTGAGTCTATGAAGGGTGAAACGGTATCCCAGCTCCAATGAACGTGGGGCTTTGCTCAACTTGAATGGCATCCTTAGCCAGTAGTGGTCATTTTCCATTCTTATGGCGATAGCCTATCTCTAGTAGGCCGATTCGACTTACAATCTGGATTTGAACAAGGAACCTTCTGGTTGTGGGTCAGGCAGTCGAACCACAGCATGAAAACGCGTTATAGTGTGAATGCCACCATGCGTTAAGCCAGCTGCCAGAGTTTTGAGAGAGGGGGCTGGGGGTGGTGATAGCCCACATGCCTAGGGTTCTACCACTGTTACCATCATTATGGTCGTATGAGCAAGGACAGACTTGGACTTTATTAAGGTTTTGTTCAGAACAGCGTCGTCAGAACAAGGGAACTTTTCACGGAGCTTTTCCTCCTGAGAGATACAGTTTCAGTTTTCAGTTTCTTTATTTTGGTATAGCCCTGTGAGCCAGTCGGCTCTTGAATCGGATGCAACCAAAACAAACAAAAAAACAAAAACACGAACAAGAAAAACATCTTAAAGTGACTATGTGACTATGCAAACAGAAAATCCATGAAAAAAACAGCAAAATATTCCTGAAAAAAGCACCGTACACCAACGCTGTGTGCAAAAAATCCCAGTGGGATGCAAGTCAAATACGCTTGCAGTAAAATGAGTCATTATTTTAAAAAATGTGGAACTGATACGTAGTGTATATGATAAAAAAACGCCTCACCGGTCACAGTGAGGCTGATTGTTGCTTCAGGTGGAGGGTTATCAATAGTGACAAAGGCGCAGGTGAAGTCTCCTTTGTCCCCCAGACGCAGGTCCTCAATGCGGATGGATCCGTCCATCAATTGAGAGTTGAGGTTCGTGAAGTTCAGTCGCCCATATAAGTCGCTGGTATCGTAAATTATGTAACCACTTTGAAGGGCAATGGCGACATTCACTGAGGAGTCTCCGTTTCCTTTCTTCCAGGATATACTCACAGGTATGTGTGTCCCCGTGTAGATGCATCTCAGAGTGACCTCTTTCCCCCTGCTCCCATTCACGAACTGCTCCACGTCTACTTGGGAGGTTCCCACAGTCACCAGACCTGCAGGGATATAATGGAGAAAGTGGAGACGATAATTAAAGGGTTGTGAAGTACACAGCAGTCTGAAATTCTATTGTCTAAAGACCCCACGAGCGACCAATCCACCAGACTGTTGTCTTCAGACCCTCAAAACGTACCAGTATACATATTTATTTTGTTCGGTTAAACATTTAAAATTGAATACCATGCAATTCCCATCTGGTAAAAGCATTGTATTGTGCAAAACTGGCAATTTGTAGCATCTGCTCATCTTTTCTACCCAAACATGAGCACGCTTATACATGTTTATAACTTTCCTTCAGACTGCATTGCAATTGTAAAGTAACACAATATCATATAGCACTGTTAGGATGACTGCAAAACAGTATAATGGCCTCATATATGCCGTTAGCAAATAACACGGCATGCCCCTGACCCTATCAAATCATAAAAGCTAAGCAGGTTAGAGCCTGGATAAGTGCTTGGATCACCATCTCGCCATTTTGGGCGTCACAATGGCAAAATGTTAACTACCTTGTCTGGTATACAGGAGCTCGTGGGTTCGTTCCTGACACTGACGTTTCCAGTATATTTGGAGTTTGCATGTTCTCCCCGTGGTCGCGTGGATTTTACCTCCGGGTCCTCTGATTATTTTCCTCATTTAGAAAAATGCGTTTAGAGTATTTGCCTGCTATAAATTTCCACGTGATATGTCCACTTCGTTGAGCTCTCATTTGTGTTCAGGTCACTTATGAAAAAGGGCTACATCGCTCAGTGTGGCCTTACCTGATAAAATAAAACGTTTATAGTTTTACCATACATGACAATCTGGTGTTGTAGGCAGTGGTTGGCAGAGGGCAGTGTAGCAAATCCATTGTTATTCTGTACATCCCCCCACCTTCACCAACCCGTACTGACCAGGGTGGTGAAGTATGGTCAAATAACAATCACGACCCGCAAAGCGTAGGAAGAGCCTCATCCAGCAGTGGATCGAGAGACAGGTTGTATGTGAACTCCTACACACATGGCACTGTTGTCCCTTCTCCCGGACAGCACATCGCATCACATGATTCCAGACGCACTTCTGTCGCCATCTGGAACCCTCTTCCAATATTAGGAAGCCACTGGAGCTATGCACTTTTAAATCTAAATGGAAAACTAATTTATGTATAACTGCTGTTTGTGTTTAGTTTGTTGTGCTTCCCCCGCACCTCCAATTAGCACGGTTGGCTTTGTACAGTGCGAAAGAAGTTCAACATGAATTAGTTTTGTTGTATAATTTAGTTTAGTGAGCCACGGTATGTCGGCTCGACACCCATGGGTAGTGAATTTCACATCACAACGTTTCTGTGATCCACCAACCCTCGCCCACTCCACAGTGCTGGATTGCACGTGCATAGCCACCACCATAGCTTTGGGATGTTTGGTCAATGCTACTTAATGGGAGTTTTGGCTTCATGCGGCAGCAACGAGCGAACCAGGAGATGAGCCCCATCGCACATTACGAGTGGGCAACACTTAGGAATGTGTAAAGCTGGGTCATAAACCAAGATCCTTTACCAACAGCGACTATCCACCTCGTAATCTAAGGGGAGGGAGAAGGGATTTGAGTTCGCACCTGGGTGATTTCTGTGTAACCTAAATACAGCTGTGTTCTCCTATAACGCGGTAGCAGTTGCGTTCCTGCAGAACACGGCGTTATGGTAAAGTCGCGCTGTAATATATAATATAGGTGGTAAAGCACAATCCGTGATAACATGTGAGATGCATAAACAGGCATCTCACAAAGACTGAGGCGCTTGGGTAGCATCTAGAAGCATCCAGCAGCATCCCACCTTGTGTGATGCTACACCGAGGGAGTCGTATGAACACTTATTCCTACTCGTGCGACGTAGTTCCATTCACTTAATCGCGTGATATTCAATTCGCATCTGCGTTTTAAGAAAAAAAATGTTCCCGAATACATTAATTGCGTTATATCCAATTCGCGTAATGAAAACAACACAGGTCATAGGAGAACGGACTGTACTTTGATTATAAAGCTTCATCACAGTCACTATTTGGCACTCCATGAAATCTTAACGTAATCAGCTATGATAAATCCACTTCTGGATGAACGCCTTCCCAAGCCACCACCATCTGTCATGGTCCAGAGATGGAACAATCCACCTTTAATAGATTAACCAGATGCACACGTTATAACATAGACACTACAATGCCGATGAAATGTGAACAACAGGATTTAGCTTTTAAATAAAAATTCGGTAAAGAAGGTTACAAAGTTGGGGTCGGGATCTTTTTTAGAACAGCTTAGTAATAATCATTTACATTTGTAAAGTGGCGCATTTCATCCATAAATCCCAATGCGCCACCACCGTGTATGGAAAGCAGGAAATAAACAGAACGTGCAGGGTAAACAGCCAGGACTCGGCGGTAGAGTACAGGCGAGTTGAAAGAGGTGAGATTTCAAGACAGACTTAAATATATTCAAATATATTTCACGACTCTGATTGTCTTACTAGCTAAAGCAAATCGTTCCAATGTTCGGGAGCTGCACTGAAAAAAGCCCCATCACTCCAGTACAATAAGTTCACTGAAACACCAATATCTGTTGGAGGGCCTAAACTGTAGAGCCACGCAAAATGAAAATCCTATGGAGTCGTGAGTTTATCAAAGCAGGCTTACCGTAAAGCACCAATAGCCGAAACGGCCCTTTCATATTTCACACGGGCAGCACCAAGTTCTTGAATTTCCACTCATCCGGCCTGCCTGGAGGTCGACTGGTTTTCACGACGCACACCACCCGAGCTCACTCGGACTCATGGCAGCGCCGTGGACTTGGGACTGTGTGATTAACCACGCGCCTCCTTAATTGATAAACCCTCGTCACTCATTAACCAGGGAGACACGGAAAACATCGTTCAAGAGATGCGCTGGGCTAGTGGGGGTGGTCAGAAACATATGGGCCGAACAGTAAAGCACACTAAGCGATTTGATTAATTGTCGCTACCAGGGTTGCGGCTTTTATTTGAGATTCAGCTGTCATTTGTCTCGTTGTTTTACGATCTCCAAATAAGGTTGAACGTGTTAAATTCCATATCTCTGTCCGTCTGTAATGGGAGAAAGGCATGATAATGCTTGTAAAGATGATCCATACTTAAGTATTAAGTTGTTTCCTTCAAATGTTTAGGAGTTTAACTTATAAACAACCGGCTAAGTTTATCAAATGGTTTTCCTAAAACTGTCGTGCCACTTAGAGGTAGATCTTTAGTTTACCATGGACCCGATTTAAATATACACTTACAGATACACTTAATTAATTTCCTAAATCATCTCAACTCGCAAAACCCATCCATCCAGTTCACCATGGAAGTGGAGGTGAATAAAACTCTCCCATTCGTGGATATTCTGCTTGGGCATGACCAAAATGGTAAAATAACGCGCAAATCCTCTCTCATGAAGATGCTCATATATCGGGCTAAGAAAGTGTCAGATGGTGATAGTCTGAGGAGTGAGATTAAACATGTTAAAGAAATGCTGCAATTTAATGGTTATAATGATGCACAAATCAATAGGGCAGTGAATGCCAAAATGAAATAAAATAGCACAAGTGCTGAAATTGATCAAACAATATTTTTTTAAATACTGTTCAATTTGGGAGTAACTAATAAACTCGCCATATTTGTGGGAAAAAATAAACATCCGATTGAGATTCAGCACGGTACATAAAAATACAAAACCTAATATCTGGTACTGAAGCTTACAACAGAAGGTGTGTACCGGATTAATTTATGCTGTGAAAAATCCTATGTTGGTCAGACGGGACGAATGATAAGCATGAGACTAAAAGGACACCAAAGAAATATTAAATATACTCCCAAACACAACTGTCGGCAGTTGCAGAACACTCATGCCAACTGGGGCACTCAATTAATTTTGATAATGTTGAGGTTTTATGCAAAACTAGTTTTCTGGCCAAGACTAATTACGGAATTTACGGAAATTAAAGGCAGCGTGATAGACGTAGCACTAGCGTTATATTCTAAAAATAGATCTTCGGTTGACGAATGACGACCGAAAGTCAATATCAGTTTCGGCCAAAACCGAAATCAGACCGAATGTTATAAAGTTGTCTTTCGGCCGAAACCGAAAACATGCCGAAAGAGGCCATTTGCCAACTTTTGGCGCCGAAACCGAATTTCGGTCGGTCTCTATCCCACCCCTCTGTTCTTCGCACCTGATTGGTTCATAAGTTCCGACATCACATTTACCCCCTCCATTTAAGGTCGCAACACAATTCTTGCTGCCGCCTGATGAGGCTGGTTATAATTACCGGTGAAACGTCATATTTTAATTGTAAATGTGGATTTCCTCCCCTCACCGGTGTGCTGAACTCATAACTTATTGGCACGTTTTGTTTACGTGACAAACTTTATTAATCATGCTGTGTCGGGTGGTGGCGGGTTTAACGACATTCATATTTACGCGATCTAACTCAATCAAAAATATATATCATGGATCATGGTGCAGGGTTAATGTGGCCACGTGTGTCCCTCAGGAAGGACAACCCGCATCCTCTATCACCTGCAATGGCTTAATTAATGGCAGTTCAAATGAGACTACAGATTAGGTGGAGTTCGGTTGTCTAGTACTGCCACTCAGGCAGCGGTAGATTGTAGCAAAGAAAACACCGCTTAAGAATAAGTTTTAATTTTTCGTACAATAAAATAGGTGTTAAGATGTTCAACCACTAAATAGATACCTTTTGCAAGGCATCAAGTTTACATTAATCACACGTACTTGTGGCAAAACATGCAAACAAACACGCTCTAATAATATACGCATTGTCCTTGAAACTGATTGGCCTACACAAGAGAGAGCCTTATTTATGGCCTTGTCTCACCACCAGTGTCAGCAGACCAGAGAACATGAAAAGGCGAACAGTACGAAGGCAATTCAAGTGAAGAGGAGATTTTAGATGGTTAAGCAGGATCTTTATTTGCAAGGCAACTCACACCGTACTTCCACTCATCATCGTAAACCAACCCCAAACCCTCCAAATCCTCTCCCTTATAGAGTTCGTCTTCCCCCCCTTTTTTTAACACTCATTCCCTTCTTGGGCTTGTCGCCCTTGTTAACCCTCCCAGGGTTTTCCCCCCCTTGCCAATCCTTCTCGAGTTTTCCCCACTGCTAACCCTTCCGGGGCCAATCCGATCAGACTTCCTCCACTCAATTATTGGATTGCGTGTCGACCACGGCAGCCCTCCCGTGACCCGTAACCCGTGGTTGTGTGATGTTTGTGTGTGAGGATGTCCCGAACATCCTCTACACAAGTATCAGAACACTTATAGCTCGAGTGATTAATGCAGACTTCTTTCTTGCAAAATTTATATATATTTGGTGTTTGAACATGTTAACACCTCCTGTTTTTTTTCCAGAAAGGGTAAAACCTATTCTTATTTTTCATCATTTTTTATTCTGGCTAAAAAGGTCCCGTAGATAAATCACGGCTTCTCTACATTTTCAAGGTAAACGATTGATGCATTGCGAAATGCACATTAATACTGTTGTTGTAGAAAACATTGAATAGGCTACGTCCAGAGACTGATGCTGTGGAGAAGAGTTGGTGAGGTATTGATGGGACACGGCTAGCGTTGTACGACCCCAAACGTGCTGGCGACTGAAGTGCACACACCTCAGCTGCTCTCAACCTCACGCTAATAGGATCAGAGCTCCCTCTACCGGACCCTTTAGCAAATAGCAATACAAAGATCCCCCGCATAGCCTAACAGACTGTTGGTGCAAGTGCTCTTCGCTCGCAGCTATGAAAGCCGGCACTGTGGCACACGAGGGAGTGGATGGTGAAAAAGCTATACCAACTGGCAAGCATAACATTTTCAAGAAACACGAATAAATTGTTTTGTTGGTTCATTGGACCTGTGTAGTGACGCCAACACACGTGGTGACTTCTTAAGAGCCTTTTATTCAGACACAGCACGAACGATGGCCAGGCTTGGTTCATGAGACAAGCTCCGTGTTCTTTCCAACGTTCCCTCTCCTTGTGCTGTCTCATTTTATACCTCCCAAGCCCCCCTCTCTGGAAGCTTCAACCACCCCACTCCCTTCGGCCAATCCTGACCCTTCCCCACCAAAGGTTCTCAACTGTTCTTCTGCAGTCTACCCTTGCTTCCCGCCTTTTGACCTATCAAATCTTTCCTCCAATCCCTTTCAATTTTTCCTCCCGACCAATCACTGTGAAGGCGTCTAAGCACCAATGGGAGGCCTTGGACTACTTTCTGATTGTTTGTCTGACCGTACGCTTGTGTCAGGAAAGTGGTCTGTTATCTCGGTCATTACATATGAATAAAACATCCGGAGCACATCAGTGGCATAGATGCCGATACAAATGTTTTATTTTTATTTAAAAAGCCGAATATCGGGGATCTACAATCCAACCCTGCACCGTCCTCCATCACTCGCCACTCGACTCGGAACTGGCCAAGCCCAGGACCTATGTCATGTATTGTTCAGTTAAAAATAATGATAAATATTTACATTTACAAGATGCATTTAATCTGTATACATATCCCAATTTGGCTATGTATGAAAAGGAGGAAATAAAAACAAAATTAGGCATGGAGGCCAGTTTGAAGAAGTGAGTTTTCAATACAGACTCAAATACAGCTGATCACCGATAATTACATGTCTGTGTGTGTATGTGTGTTACGGGGAGTAATTACAGGGGTGAATATTAACATAGGGGAGTTATGAGAAGAAGGGAACCATCTGGGAAGATCTAGAGAGGTCGAGAATGGGATTGTGGCCGAGGGCGGAGTGAGGGCCACGCCTTGGATAAAAAGGGGAGATAGGCGAGGTTCGGGGCTGCCGTGGGATCGGGGTCGACTGTCTTCACGCCGTCGCTGTCTTCGCATCGTCGCTGTCTTTGCGTCATCACTTTCGTCGCTTTCGTCGCGTCTATGCTGTCTTCGCCTCGTCGCCACTTGCGTGTCATCCCTGACCAAGTAATCCGCGTGAAGCGAAATAAAGTAACCCTCTACAGTTCGTGTTGTCCGAGAGTCATTAAAGCTGTAACTCGCGCTGTGCTGGTCTACCTGCATCTCAAACTGCTTACAAGTGATGCTCGCATAGTTCTGCTTGAGATGTTTAGCAAATTTGAGTACATTTTATTTTCATGATATGGGCAATAAATTGGAGAGCCAGAATAAACCCACCGCGTATACAAGGAGATCCATGCCCAAAGTCCACACGTATAAGCCTAGATTTAAAACGCATTTCTTTAGAACTGCTTTTCGTGTTTTTATTTTATTGTCCTTCCCCCGTACCTCACTTTGGACGACTTAAAGATAGAACCATCACCGAACATGATCCTATTGTATGCACCAACTCCACCTCCAAAGTGCTTATTACGTGGGCACGTCACAATTCTCGAATAAATTAAACTCCTAATTAACTCGTGTACATTGGTTTTAACCGTGTTGTTTTAGTGCAATGTGCTGAAAGTGCTCAGTCTCATACATTCTCGTATGTGGGATGGTGTAATTTATCATAAGTTTTCTCTGTGGACGGCTTCAAAGGCTGTGAAATGAAAAGGAAAGATAATTGCATTTTTGTTGATTAATTTGAGTTCATCGCTACAGGTATAATGTACAATTTCGTACTAAAATCAAGTTCCATTTTCTCCCAGCTCAAATGTGGGTGGCATGGTACTACTCTTCTCAATTGGTTTGTCCTGAAGCATGGCTATTCTTCCCCACAAAAGCAAAGTTTGTGGGGAATAATATAAATTTTCTATACTTTTTAGGCATGAGCAATTAAAAAATAACACTTACTACTAGGGACAAAAATCGTGTTACATAGTGTATTCACTGGGCAAAGACCCCGAGGCCGGCCCAGGACACTCTGGCGAGATGTCGCTCGGCTGGCCTGGGAACACCTGGGAATTATCCAGGAAGAGCTAGATGCTGTTTATAGTAGTGTATATTAGTGTATAGTGTAGTAGTGTTTTGTAATGTGTAGTCGTGTATGTTAGTGTATAGTGTCGTAGTGTATAGTAATGAATAGTAGTGTATAGTGGAGTAGTGTATGGTGATGTATAGTAGTGTAGTGTATAGTATTGTATAGTGTAGTGTATAGTGTAGTAGTGTATAGTAATGTAGTGCTCGAATCTGTCGCCAGGGAAATGGAGGTCTGGACCAACCTTACTTAACACGCTGCCTACGGGACCCTCACCAGGACAAACGGATTGAGACACGAATGAACGAAAGAATATTCAACGAAGGCATCCTTACTTAGCGTGAGGCTTACCTGGTAGTGAACGCCCTCTTGGTTTTGTGGGTTCTGCAATGGCGTAGGTATTAGGTGGCAAAACGCACACAATTAGATGTTGAATGTCGGTACAAATTACTCAAATGTTACGAGTGGATTATTATTTTCTCCGTGTGTGTCTGTGCCGGTGGTGCAAATGGTTTGCAGCACTGTAATCTGTTTGGCCATGGTTCAATTGTTCGCGGTGAAATCTGAAACTGTCCTGGACCTCCCCTAGGTCAACGCTGCCATTAAATAAATGAGTGCATATTTCTATTTTACCACTGGGGAGCTGATTGTGGTGCTAATCACCACTTGCACCTCATCCCAAATAGATGCTCACTTTACAGTTCTCTCCATGGCAGTCTATGATTACTAAAAACAGGGCATTTTTATGCATGCATAAGGACAAAGATTCCCCCGTGTGGGCTTCACAGATTGTTGTAGCAAGTGCTGTTAGCGAGCAGCACCTATGAAGGCCAGCACAGCACACGAGCGGATGGGTGGCCAGCACCAGGTACTCATTTGACGCTGAGTAAACATAGAGGAGGCCAAGGACTGGTACAGATAATCGTTACCGGTGTTAGCCGCGAGCGGAGATCGGATGGTCGGGTTCATAGAGTAGCGCGCTAACCGCCACACTATAGGAGTGTGTTCAGTAGATGGCCGCCGATAATTTTAAATCGCGGTTAATCCAAAAAATATATACAATTTTCGGCGGATCTCAATGCTAAAATCCACTAATATAGGTAAAGTTAAGAAAATACTCTTTAATTTAAGAAGGAATATCGACCCGATCGATGCGCGTGCTCAGTAATAACACTTTGCTGCTCCCACCCAGCAGAAGACTTGACCCACTAAGTGACATCAGAACCACGCCTATCAACATCAATCAAACTCCACCCACTGTTGTAAAGATACGCAACGACTGTAGTGTTGGTGTGATTACATGAATTTAGGATTACTCAGAGCAGATACTTTTGTTCAGTCTAAGCACGTGAAATGTAATAAACATTTCCAAGAATGGCAATGTTTAACTTGTTTTTAGATTATTAATGTAGGTATTAATGGAAAATCCACACGTTAATTTACGTCAAAATCTCAGGGGCGTGGTTAATCCGCAAATCAGATAAACCACACGCGAATAATCGAGTCTACTGTATGTACGAATACACACACATGGATATCACATTGCTCAGACACTGTTCATGGCCGAGGCAGGTAGTAAGTTTAGCTTATAAATTCACCCACCGATTCAGTAGAATTCAGGTTGTTCTCATACAGATGTTCTCTGTGGTTGTTCCTAAAAATAGTTGACATATTTTTTTCGAAGATTAATGCACAAAAAAGGAAAACCTTTAAGTAATTGATCATTAGTTATCCGGCTTCCAACATTATCAGGTGGTCCCTGGGCCGATCCGGCGAACCCGGCAAAACCGCTCCAAAGGCTGGAACCAGTCTGGCCATCAGCACCGTGTGCATGACAAAAATGTAGTTTGCTTGATTTCAGTGTTAAATATAAAATATGGTACATTATACACTACATACCACTTCAACAATTAAAATGCTGTAGGTTAAACAAATTATCTAAGCAAAGCGCCCACGCTTCGCTTCTTTGTGAGCCCTCAAAATTTGGAACTCTCCCTTGCTCGAAGAAACTGCTCCTAATCGCTGAGATTATTTCCAATTTAGATATAGAAAACTATAACAAGGTGGAATGGGGGGTGGGGAAATGCCAACCCCCCCCCCCGCGCCAAACTGGACACATTTATACATTTATTTTCAGTAGTTTACAATTAAGATTTTTAAAAAAAATTACATGTAGCCACAATTCCTAATGTGGGGGACAAAGCGAAACCCTGTCCACCTTTCCCCCTAAATATAAAAGTCAAACTCCGTCTATGCTAAAAACCTACTCACTTCGCCATACGTTAAGATAAACTTAGAGATTGTTTTTATTTGTACTGCACTCAGAAGCCCCTTTCTGTTGGATCTACTGTGCCTCTTAAAAAAGAAAACGTAAAATAAAAAAAGAATAATAACAATAATAGATCAGAGTAAACCCATAACAGGATTTCTCCGCAACTCTGACTGTTCTCTGATAATGCTGGTTGTTGTTGTAATTACCAGCAAAACGGTACTCGAATTGTCAATGTTGTAGTGGGTTTATTCTCTAACACACAACCGATTAGTGCCGAACTAGTAACGAATTGGCATGTTTTGTTTACGTGACAAACCTTACCTAATTGTCTGTGTCGTTGGTGGCGGGTTTAACGACACATTTATAGTTATGCTAAATATAACCCTAAAAAAACCTCTATCATAGATAAAAGTCTGATATTTCAATCGACATAACACTGTTTGGAATGCTTGTACATACCAGTTGGAAGTGGTTTTTGCATGCGCATTGTAGAATTCGGCACTGCCAGGGGGTGGCTGTTGTGACTCCAGATTGTGGGATGGGAATTTCCCGTCGATGTATTCGTACTGATGATGGTCGTCCTGCTGCTGATGTTGCTGCTGCTGCTGAGACTAGGCATGGGGGGTGGGGTTAGAAGGGTCAGCATTAAAAGGAAAACATAGTTTAAAATTTTTACAATTCTTTCCCAAACGATGTTTATTCACTTCGATGCGACGGATGAAATCTGCTTTTGTACAATAAACATTTGTTGTACCTATCTATAACTGTTCAACCCGAGCTTATTGATACTTTGATATTGGCATTCCTTCGTGCCATTTCGCATTTTTGTGTTCTCTGGCCTAACACTGGTGAGACGACACCATGAAGGAGTCCATCTCTGGCGTAGGCCAATCATTTGATCCCATTAATCTCCTCTAAGACGGTCACCAACCGTACGCCCAAAAAAATCCATTCAGTCTTCCCTGACAACCAATCCGATTTGAGCGTTCTCCACCTTCAAATGCCATTGGGCATGCTCTAAGTCAGCTCCTCCCCCCTCTGACATTTCCTCTCCAATGGGAGTTTAGCATTTGCGTTGGTGAGATGTTAACTACCTCGCCAGGTATACAGGAGGTCATGGGTTTGATATGGATCCTGACACCTACTGTGTATTTGGAGTTTGCATGGATTTTTCTCCGAGTTCTCTGCTTTTTCCCTCCACAGTCATAAAAGTGCGTTTAGAGTATTTGGCTGCTATAATTTACGCAATGATGATAAGTCACTTCTTTGAGCTGAAAAAAGCTAAAAAGCTCAGTGGGCCTTACCTGGTAATACAAATTTTAGTTAGTTTACAGTCAAGCGTGCTATTTGAACTCATACGGAGCTGTTAAATTGGATAAGTAGATGCCTATTTATTTATTCCTGAATAGGATTTTCTTTTCGGCAACCCTCAAACCTTACAAATGTTAAGCTACTATAGGAAAGGAAAAGTTTATGATGATGAAGATGGTAGTGTACGTTTGTGTTATGCTCGTCAAGTATACTGATTGAATGTCACCAGAACATATTTGCAGGTACTTATTCATGTATGTATGTTGAACTTCTTTCACACCATACATAGCCAACCATGCTAATCGGAGGTGTGAGGGAAGGACAACAAAGTCCATGGAAAAATAAGTCCCAAAGAAATGAGTTTGTCAATCTAGATTATTTACAGGTGTCATAGCTCCCAGTGGCTTCCTAATCTCAGTTCATGGTGGTCGTGCATCACAGCCCCAACCTATTTCCCAACAGTTGATGGATGATGCTCGTGCCGGTTTTATCTTGTTGTTCCACTGCTTAATGTGTCTCCTGAAAGTGAGACTGATCGAGCACCACACCAAGGTATATTGGGAGTGCATCACGGGGGATGATCTTAGCACAAAACTCGATCTTCAGTGTACCATTTGCCTCCGCGTTGCTGAGATGGAATGCTGAGGATGGTGTCCTGTTTGGTTTTGGCTTAAGTTGCCAGGAATATAAATAATCTTCCAATTTCTTTAGGTCAGTGTTCAAGATATCTTGAATGGCTTTGCTTGGCTAGCCAGTTCTAGATCATCAGCGTAAATGAACTTGCTGCTTAATGTGACCGGCATGTCGTTGGTGTATAAAAAGAGAGAGTGGCCTGTAGTTGTGCGGGTCATCATCAGGTTTTCCTTGATTAAGTAGAACAATGAATTTTGTTTTTCCCCAAAGTCTTGGTAGCCTGCTGGTGGCGATTATTTTTTTTTTTTAAGTTTCACCGGCCAGGTTCTTCATTTGCTGCTGAGATATTTTAGGAATTCCGGGTAAATACCATCTTTTCCTGTGGCTTTACCCGCCGCTAGTGCGGCATCTATTTCTTCTGGAAGTACAGCTGCAGACCCTGGAGAATTTTGGTCACTGGTGGACAGTGTATCTTTTGTGGCTTGTTTTACGGCACATTCTTGTATTTGACTTTCGATTGTTTTTGCCTTGTCGAGAAGCGCACAGCTATCCCATTAGCTGTTTCCTTAGGAGTCCGGTATTCTGAGGGTGCCACTACGAGCTTCCGCAGTAACCCCCAAACTCTGTGGCTGGAGTGCATGAAGTAAAAAGACTCCATTAACGCTGCCCACTTTGCTCGTCTGGCAGAATCTAGCCACTCCAGAAGGACTGTTACAATCTCTGGGTCACTCGTACTTTGATGTTCTCGGAGAAGGTTTCCACTTTCCGCAGTCCATCCGGTAGTGTAGGACCTCCAATATCTCTGCGGAATCGCATCCCTGGCGGCTTTCTTCACGAGCATGATGAACTGCTCAAAACTTTCAGGGTTAGTAAGATGTGGTGGATATAATTTTCCACAGCAGCCATAAAACCAGGCCATTTTGCCAATCCGAAGTTCCAGCAGAGTCTTAGTCTGATTGGTTATTACTCGGATTTTGTCGCCAACATGGATGTGGGAAGCAAGGCAGAACTTTGCACGTGGTGGGCAAAGGCTGAGCAATTCTTAATCTGTAGTAACAAAGCACAGGTCTGAGTTGTATTCCATTGAGTAGAGTGGAATCACTCCGGGTGGGAATCGCCGTGGCTGGGAATCACTCCGGCTCATCGTCGTTTGTGTCGAGCATGGACGCCGCTTACCGGTCGGTGTGTGGAACTTTCTGAAGCGTCTCTGCCATGTCGTCTCGTGCTCCTGCAGACAAACGTTAGACATTGATAACAACAAAATCCCGAGCCGTGCTGTCCACGGTGAATCTTGGCGGCACACGGTTTCGTCACGGTTAATACACCTACACCTGCCTCGGTATGTAAAAAATGGCCGCTGCTGGATTCGAACCGTGGAACCTCTGCAACAGCAGGGGGCGAATGCGCTACCCGCTGGGACACATTGCCGCCCATAGCACCATTGATGGCTGTGCAGCAATGGCTGTAGAGGTCAACATTGATGTATTTTCTGATATTGTAAACTCTTCTTCCCATGAAAAGTCTCCGTTTGTTTTTGTTTACTTTAGGAACCTTTTTGACCTGAATACCAGGAGGTCGTGGATTCAATCCCGACCCTGAATCCTGCTGTATATTTGAAGTTTGCGGTGTCTCTCTCCCAGTGGTCACGTGCATTTTTTCTGGGACCTCTGTTTTTTCCCCTCTTTTTTTAGAATCAACATCACGCGTTTAGCATATTTAGCTGCTGTCCACGTAACATGCCACTTTATTTGTGATAGCCAGGTTGCTTCTGAAAAACAACTATATAGCTCATTGGGCCTTACCTGGTAAAATACAATAAATAGGTGGCAACACTGCTCTGGCGACCATCCTGTATTTTTTGCTACATTCTGCTTCAAGGAATTGGCAACACTGGTCCAACCAACCCCTCTTGTCCATGAGCAGGAACACACTCATCACCTTGATCTAAATCAATCATTGGGAACTCACGTTGCTTGAATCCCCTTCTTCTTCAAGCAGAAGAAGAAAACGGATCCAGCCACTGCAGCCAAAACCAAAAGTGGCACAATGACAGCGACAGCTATGACCCAGGGCTCTATATCGCCGCCACCACCACCATTACCACCACCACCTACAAAAGACAAACACATCTGCGGGTCATTTTTAATCTTACCTAGATATTAAATTGGGTAACAGTACAGCCATGCAATTTGCTCACCCACGCCACTGCTGGTGGAAGCGTCTGCCCCCTCCATTTGAGAGCCCCTCCTGATGGGTATGTTGGCTTACTTTTCTGCGCCAGTGAGACGTCTTGGTGGAGAGGTGAGGAGTACCCACACTTTACCTCACCGCACGTGACGTTGCCAAGCGAATACCCACTGACACTGCCCCTAAACTTTACCCCGGATACGCCCCTTCATAATAAGGCATTATGTAATGCAGCTATAACCATAATTACCCTGACAGGCCGGCAGGTGTCACCCTGTCATTACACGTGTAGAGGAGTGAAATACGCGGTGTGCACAGTTAACCGAGGGCAACTGAGAGTTGCACAGACAAACCGCCAGTTGTTAAGGGACGAAGCAGGTGCAACGGGGTCGACTGGTTGTGCACGTTGAGACCGGAGGTGTTGCCAGGGAGACGGGAGATAAGGGTTGATTGATGGGCCGACAGGCGCCGGCCTGACAAGAGCTAAAGAGACGCTGCTGAGTGCAACATGAGTGACGTGGAAGGTAGACAAGAGTGGGGAGAAGTTAAACATAAGTGACCGGATATATAGTGAACAGAGTGCCTACAACTGGTGCAAGAATAGGTGAATAAAGTGTAAGCAGCTGACTTGTTACAACGTGTCGGTGTGAGTAACACACTACACATGTATAAAAGTTATCTCTGCCTGATGCAAAACCACCAGTTCAAAATAACTGCAGCCATTTTGTCAGAGACCACACTTTTGAGAATACACGCAACCAGAGCTTTGTGTGTTTTTGTTTTGTTAAATCTATTTGCTTTTCTGGCCTGCCCAAATGCGTTTAATGTGTTCTCATGATTTACAGACTTCACACTAAAGGAAAAACAAACCTATGGGGGGCTGGTGGGATGTCAACAAAGGAAAGCAGCTGCTGATGTACCTGGTGTAGTGGCTGCCACAGGCATAGTGGATATAGTTGTTGTAGTAGCGATGGTTGTAGCAGCCGTAGTTATACCTGGCCGGATGGTAATGATAACCACCGCCTCGCCCCAGCCCACAGAGTTATTGGCCCAGCAGGAAAACGACCCAGAGTCTGACTCCACTAGCGGCCGCTCAAAGGACAGAGAGTTGCCTCTCACAACCGCCCCGTTGGGCAGAAAGCCGTCTTGTCTACGAGCAATCACACCACAACACGGAGCGCGACACACAGTCAGTATCATGTGATTACACTGCTGCAGAAACTGCGGAGAAATTTAATTAGATGTATGTATGTTGAACTTCTTTTGGAACGTATGTAGCCAACCGTGGTATTCTGAGGTGCGGGACAAGGAGAACAAAATAAGCACAAGCAGTTCTAAAGAAATTAGTTTTCAATCTAGCAGTATGGCAAAACATGTTGCATAACAGCCACGGAATGGGGGAGGGGACCTACATCTAGTCGTCGTTTGAGAAAGAGCTGTAACAATGGCAACTAAAGTCGCCTCACTTTTTACAAGTGTTTATGTAACGCGAATGCAAAATACCATGTTTGATTAATTTACACTTATTTTGGATTTGCACGCACTATCATTGAAATGACGTGCTCTACCGCGTTGGCCATAGTTTACGGAACATGCTCCAAGCTCATCGTTAGTCAGGCAACAAAGTTCAGTAGCAATGCTGCCTAAGGTGCAGCAGTTTGACAACAAGCACAAGTGTGGGCAGCAGCATTAGCATCTCATTCTCAAGCGCCATTTTGAAGATCTTGTCCACGTGGACTTTGTGCGCACATTCAAAAGTGCCACCATCTCTACCACCGTCACCATCCGATGAAGACGACCCCTCCCTCTCTCTCCAGTAACCCCACCAATTCTCGCCCCTTCACGAGCCCCAGTTATGCTGCCACATTAAAACATCTCACTACGTGTTAACATATTTTTTGTTTCACTTCATATTATTTCTTTAAATAGGATGTCACTATCTTTAATACATGTATGGTGGTATTGTAAATTTAATATGTATGGTAACCGGTGAAATATGTGGACGTGAGAATGAGATTCGATAGTCTGCTCTGTCCTTAACTCCAACCGATTTTGCATTACGTGCCATAAAACAAGAGGTAGCTGTATTGACAGTTTCTTGTGGTCCCTTACCTGTCCCACAGGTAGTGCGTGATGTTAGGGTTCGCGTCTGCTTCACAAGTCAACGAGGCTGCTTCCTTATCCACGTACCAATCACCATCATAGCTAGCGATACTCACACTTGGTTTGTCTGCGAATGGAGGCACATGTGTAGTGTTTATAATGACGAATAAACTTCTTATGAGGCACACTCTGTTTATTGTAATACTTCTCTTTACACAGTCCTTAACACACAGAGGGGTATACGGTCCCCTCACCCGATACCCTAAGAAGGTACAGCCTCCGGACTTAGCGTGACCTACACACAGGTCTCTTCCTATCCTAAGGAGGTACAGCCTCCTATCTTGGCGGGACTTACACGTCTACCGCTATCCTAGAGTCCTCCGGCTGGGACCTAGGGGAGGCTATCTGACCCACCGCTGGCCCGGCGGGTCTTGGCCACTGGATGCACCGAGCCTTACCCCTCAGAAGGGCTGGAAGGCTGGGTCCAGGGTCCTGGCTATCTTCAGCCCGGGCTTCGGTCTTCGTGTAGGGAGAGAACTCCCCGCGCTCTGCGCGGTCACCCTTCTTATACCCGTTTGTGGTCAGGTGTAACCAATCCCACATTCCCACGTGGAACTGTCTGATTGGTTCTTACCAAACTGTGGCTATGATCCACTTCACCTCGTCTGACCCCAACCGTTATGTACACAGAGGTAACGCTGTACTGCCCCTTGATACCTAGTGGCAATGCGGGTTACTGAACAGTGAGTAGTTAACACCTCTACACATGCACAAGTCCATACACATTGCCCTGGTCGCATTCACGAGCAAACTTCGGTTATAAAAGTGGCGAAAAATCAATTGAGGGATATTCAGGACAAAAAAAGAAACTAATTTTGATTAACTCTTATCAGAGGCAACTGTATATTTCACAAAAACGTAGCCAGGGGGTTATCCACTGCTACAAGGCGTTACATCATTACTCCAATGTATCCACGTTTTTTTCTTCAGCGAACACCTCACGTCCCAAAGTTCTGAGGGCAGGGGGCAGTCATGGTGCAGTGCACTCATCACGGTGTTACTCTCCAACATTATGATGGTCATTTTTACTCTTGCATGATGTACGTATGTATGTTTAACTTATTTCTCACCGTACATAGCCAACCGTGCAATTCTGAGATGCGGAGGAAAAGACAACAGACTAAACACAAAGATCTATTCGAAATCAATTAGTTTTCAATCTATAATAACAACGTAGAATGTCTAGAATTGACTCAGGGATGCCAATGGAGATGACCACCAATCTAAGCGTGGCCACGGTCACCAGCCCCATGCCCTCGACCAACTGGGATGGGTTCAACTCCAGGGAGACGTTCGGGGGAACTGGGGCACAGAGAGACAGAGACACAGAGACGGTTAAATAACAGTTAAGTGCTGCCCTCTAATGTGTGGAGCAGAGGTCACTCAAAGTAGCCTGATCTCTAAGAAGGGTCACAATAACTGTGGGAGATACAAAGTGATTCTTAAAAACTATATTATGGATCACCTTAGCCAGAGATGCCACGCCGAAACAATACAGAAAGACCGATGGACAGATGGATTACTGAATCTATCTGTGTGGAACTTTGAGCATTATCCCCTTGTATGTGTGGATATTCCTCGGGTACTCCAATTTCCTTCCACACAAAGCCAAACACTGACAATGGGAAATAGCCAAACATTCCTGCTCAGGGCCTTCCCTATACAGACACCTAAGACTCAAAGAGACATTTCTGGCTAAATAATGGGCATTGTCACTCTTGCACGATGTATTCATGTAAGTTGAACGTCTTTCGCACCATATGCAGCAAACCGTAATAATTGGAGGTGAGAGGGAAGGACAACAAACTAAACACAAAAACATTTCTAAATAAATTATTTTTCAATCTATATTAACAACGTGGAATGTTTAAAATGGACTCATGGCTGCCTATGGAGACGACCACCAATCCAAGCTCATTTAAACATCGCGACAACCGGACTTTCTGACTTTTTTTATCATGTCCACTACTCACAGTAGATGTTGAGGGTGGTAGGGAACTCCACTGGAGACTCGAGGGCCGGGTGCTCCACTCTGCAGGTGAGCGTCTGCCCGTGGCTCTCATATGTGGGCTCCAGCCAATAGCGGCTCCTCACCGTCACCGTACTGTCCGGCTCCTCCTTCGTGGTCTCATTTGAGCTGCCCTGATTGAGGCCACTCCAGGTGATGGAGGCTGCGGGTTTTCCTTCCTGAGCGACGCACGTGGCCACAGTCACCAGCCCCATGCCGTCTATCAACTGGGATGGGTTCAACTCCAGAGAGACGTTCGGGGTAACTTGGGCACAGAGACACGGAGACGCGGAGAGACAGAGACGGTTACATAGTTAAGTGCTGCCCTCTACTGTGTGGTGCAGAGGTCACTTAAAGGAAGCTCAGAGGTCGCTCTGTTATCTGCTTCCATGGACTGTTCTCGAACAAGAAGGGATGACGGTTATATTCGCCGTGCCACCAAACGGGACTTTAGCAAAGCAATGGCAACACTCATGGAAGTGAACAGGAATCATAGGATTACCGAGAAAAATGTGGACTGTTGGAGTGGAGTAGGAGGCACTGAAATGGAGAGGAATGACATGGATTCATCAGCCGCATATAATGATGATGATGGCCAACAGTGGAGGACTTCTATGGGAAGTTGGTGGACCCAGTGGCCTCTATGAAGAGTGGGAAGGGTTGTGAGTCTATGAAGGGTGAAACGGTCTCCCAGCTCCAATGAATGTGGGGCTTTGCTCAACTTGAATGGCATCCTTTGCCAGTAGTGGACATTTTCCATTCCTATGGCGATAGCCTATCTCTAGTAGGCCGATTCGACTTCCAATCTGGATTTGAACAAGCAACCTTCTGGTTGTGGTTCAGGCAGCCGAACCACAGCATGAAAACGCGTTATAGTGTGAACGCCACCATGCGTTAAGCGAGGACTGTCCTGTACCACCTGCCAGAGTCTTGAGTGAGGGGCTGGGGGTGGTGATAGCCCACATGCTTAGGGTTCTACCACTGTTACCGTCGTTATGCTCGTATGAGCAAGGACAGACTTGGACTTTATTAAGGTTTTGTTTAGAACAGCGTCGTCAGAACAAGGGAACGTTTCACGAAGCTTTTCCTACTGAGAGCTACAAATACGCTTGCAGGAAAAGGAGTCATTATTAAAGAAAAATGTGGAACTGAAACGTAGTGTGTTTAATTAAAAAAACGCCTCACCGGTCACAGTGAGGCTGATTGTTGCTTCAGGTTGAGGGTCATCAGTAGTGGCAAAGGCGCAGGTGAAGTCTCCCTTGTCCTCCAGACGCAGGTCCTCAATGCGGATGGATCCGTCCATAAGTTGAGAGTTGATGTTTGTGAAGTTCAGTCGCCCAAATAAGTCGCTGGTATTGTAAATTCTGTAACTACTGGAAAGGGCTATGGCGATATTCACTGAGGAGTCTCCGTTTCCTTTCTTCCAGGATATACTCCCAGGGGTCTCTAACCCCGTGTAGATGCATCTCAGAGTGACCTCTTTCCCCCTGCTCCCATTCACGAACTGCTCCACGTCTACTTGGGAGGTTCCCACAGTCACCAGACCTGCAGGGATATAATGGAGAAAGTGGAGTCGATTATTATAGAGTTGTGAAGTACACAGCAGTCTGAAATTCTATTGTTTAAAGACCTCACGAGCGACCGATCCATCAGACTCTTGTCTTCAGACCCCCAATACGTACCAGTATTCATCTTTATTTTGAACGGTTAAACATTTAAAATTGCATACCATGCAATGCCCATCTGGTAAAAGCATTGTATTGTGCAAAACTGGCAATTTGTAGCATCTGCTCATCATTTCCACCCAGACATGAGCACACTTATACCTTTAAATTTCGATTTAAAGCTTTCGTGACTGCAAGGATTCATCTTCTTTGGTTCTTTCGGTAAAGTCACGTAGAATGAGAATAAAATAATAAATTGATAAAATAAAATAACACAATAAAATTCTCCCGACGTTTCGGCCACAACACAAGCGGCCTTCATCAGGTGAAGGGACGAGACTGTCTGGTAGGACAGCGCTGGAGTGAAAAAGCCACGCTCAGATCACGACCTTTAAGCTGTGTGAGAAGAAACAAAGCGCCTTGACAAAGGAATTAACATATAATTTAGCATTGAAATGGCTGAGTGATTAGCTTGTGACTGGTCACAGAAATGGCTTTGTTAAAGTTAAAGCATACACATCCACAGAGGCACCCCTTGCCAAAGGAATTAGCATAGAATTTAGCATTGAAATAGCTAAGTTAAAGCATACACATCCGCAGAGGCACCCCTTGACAAAGGAATTAGCATAGAATTTAGCATTGAAATAGCTGAGTGATTAGCTTGTAACTGGTCACAGAAATAGCTATGTTAAAGTCAGAGCATACACATTCACCGAGGCACTTAGTACAAATCAAACAGGAGAATTTAGCATTGAAATAACTAGGCGAATGTAGCATTGAAATAACTGAGTGATTAGCTAGTGACTGGTCACAGAAATGGCTATGTTGAAGTCAAGGCCTACACATCTGAGCTATTCACAGTAACTGGGTATACAATACAATATATAATGAATACGACATAGTGAACCAATAAAAAACTAAAATATAAATTACCTTAATGTTATCAATAAACTCTATATTCTCCAATCAGCTAAGCTACCAAAAATAAGTCGTTATATATCACAATGCTATATGGCGAAAAAATGGGTGGATTCTTACCCTCAACTTTAGCAACACGGATAGCTACGGGCCCCGTTCAGACGGACGAGTTCACCCATGGTCGGAACAGAGGAGGGGGAGAGAGACAGCTGCGAGGCGCTATTATACTCCATGTTGTAAACCATACCATTAACCGTGGTGTGAGGGGTATTAAGAGTCAATGCTGGCGAAAGAGCTGCGGTCTGAAGGTCATCGTAAAATACAATTAATTAAGAACAGAAATGGTTTAAAACATCTTTCCAATGGTTACTAAGCCAGAATCCATCTTCTCGGTTGAAATTGTCTCTGTGCTTGTATATGTGAATGGCCTCATGAACGAATATCTCATGGTAGCCGGTTGGTTTGCAAAGAACCTCCGTCTTGGAGAAGTCAATGTCATGTGAGCCCACTGAATTATAACAGTGATCTGCCATGGCAGATGAGTTCGTTCTACCGTGTTTCAAGTCTGCTTTATGTTCGCGGATGCGGTCCGAGATATGTCGTTTGGTTTCTCCAATGTAGCTACTACCACAGAGGCACTTTAGTTTGTAAACGCCCGGGTACTGTATGTCTGGAACAACATCTTTTACAGATGGAACTAAATCACGGATTTTATGTACTGTGTTGAATCGGACCTGGATCTTGTGTTTATTCAGGATTATGGAGATCTTTTTAGTGACCCCTGCAATGTAGGGTAAGGTGATGGTTTTGAGTAGCTCCACAAGAGGATCCTTCTTCATGACTGGAGTGATGGCTTTGTGGATTGTGTAGTCGGAGTAACCATTAGCCCTGAGAGCCTGGTGTACGTGCTTTAGTTCACTGGTAATGTGTTCCTGGTCGGAAATGCATTGGGCTCTATGGTTTAGAGTCTTGATGAGGGAGTTCTTCTGGGATGGATGGTGGTGGGAATCCGGTTTCAAGTAAGCATCTGTATGGGTAGCTTTCCTGTAGACAGAGTGGCTCATTGAACCATCATGTCTCCTTTTAATTAAGACATCCAAAAAGGGTAGTTTGCCATCTTTTTCGACCTCCATGGTAAATCTGATGGCTGAGTGTATGGAATTGATGTGGTCGCCGAATTGGTCTAGAGCAGGCTGGCCATGTGGCCAGATGACAAAGGTGTCATCCACGTACCTCTTCCATAGGGTCGGGCGTAGAGTGGCAGTCTGGATGGCGTTAGTTTCAAATGTTTCCATGAATACGTTGGCTACAACCGGAGATAGGGGGGAGCCCATTGGGGTGCCCTCAGTTTGTTTGTAGAAAGTTTTATTCCAGGTGAAGTATGTGTTGGTTAAGCAATGTCTCACCAGGGGGGGTACATCAGTATGCAGTCCTAGATGAACCAGGTCTTCAATGATAGCGATGGTGTCAGGTACCGGGACTTTGGTGAACAAGGACATCAAAACTGACAAGCAGGTCGTCTGGGGACAGGGAAATGCCTTTGATTGTCGATACCAGATGAGTAGAATTTAGTACCGCAGAGGTAGTTTTTCCAGTGAAAGGTCAATTTATTATTTTATTCTCATTCTACGTGACTTTACCGAAAGAACCAAAGAAGACTTATACCTTTATTCAACTTTCCTTCAGACTGCATTGCAATTGTAAAGTAATACAATATCATAGAGCACTGGTAGAACGACTGCAAAACAGTATAATGGCCTCATATATGCCGTTGAGCAAATAACACGGCATGCGCCTGACCCTATCAAATCATAAAAGCCAAGCAGGTTAGAGGCTGGATAAGTGCTTGGATGGGTGATCACCATCTCGCCATTTTGGGCGTCACAATGGCAAAATGTTAACTACCTTGTCTGGTATACAGGAGCTCGTGGGTTCGTTCCTGACACTGACGTTTGCAATATATTTGGAGTTTGCATATTCTCCCCGTGGTCGCGTGGATTTCACCTCCGGGTCCTCTGATTTTTTTCCTCATTTATAAAAATGCGTTTATGGTATTTGCCTGCTATAAATTTCCACGTGATATGTCCACTTCGTTGAGCTCTCATTTGTCTTCAGGTCACTTATGAAAAAGGGCTACATCGCTCTGTGTGGCCTTACCTGGTAAAATAAAACGTTTGTAGTTTTACCATGCATGACAATCTGGTGTTGTAGGCAGTGATTGGCAGAGGGCAGTGTAGCAAATCCATTGTTATCCTGTACATCCCCCCACCTTCACCAACCCGTACTGACCAGCGTGGTGAAGTATGGTCAAATAACCATCACGACCCGCAAAGCTTAGGAAGAACTTCATCCAGCAGTGGATCGAGAGACAGGTTGTATGTGAACTCCTACACACATGGTAATGTTGTCCCTTCTCCCGGAAAGCACATCGCATCACATGATTCCAGATGCACTTCTGTGGCCATCTGGAACGCTCTTCCAATATTAGGAAGCCACTAGAGCTATACACTTTTAAATCTAAATGGAAAACTAATTTATTTATAACTGTTGTTTGTGTTTAGTTTGTTGTCCTTCCCCCGCACCTCCAATTAACACGGTTGGCTACGTACAGTGCGAAAGAAGTTCAACATGAATTAGTTTTGTTGTATAATTTAGTTTAGTGAGCCACGGTATGTCGGCTCGACACCCATGGGTAGTGAGTTGCACATCACAACGTTTCTGTGATCCACCAACCCTCGCCCCCTCCACAGTGCTGGATTGCACGTGCATAGCCACCACCATCACTTTGGGATGTTTGATCAATGATAATTAATGGGAATTTTGGCTTCATGCGGCAGCAACGAGCGAACCAGGAGATGAGCCCCATCGCACATTACGAGTGGACGACACTTAAGAATATGTACAGCTGGGTCATAAACCAAGATCCTTTAAAACAGCGACTATCCACCTCGTAATCTACGGGGAGGGAGAAGGGATTGGAGTTAGCACCCAGGGTGATCTCTGTGTGATCTAAATACAGCTGTGTTCTCCTATAACGCGGTAGCAGTTGCGTTCCTCCAGAACACGGCGTTATGGTAAAGTCGCGCTATAATATATAATAAAGGTGGTAAAGCACAGTCCGCGAAAACACGTGAGATCACAGGCTGAACAAAGACTGAGGCACGTGGGTAGCATCTAGAAGCATCCAGCAGCATCCCACCTTGTGTGATGCCACACCGAGGGAGTCGTATGACCACTTATTCTTACTCGTGCGATGTAATTCCATTCACTTAATCGCGTGGTATCCAATTCGCATCTGCGTTATAAGAAAATAAATGTTCCCGAATAAATTAATCGCGTTATATCCAATTCGCATAATGAAAACAACACAGGTTATAGGAGAACGGACTGTACTTTGATTATAGAGCTTCATCACAGTCAGTAATTGGCACTCCATGAAATCTTAACGCCTCCCCAAGCCACCACAATCTGTCACGGTCCAGATATGGAACAATCCACCTTCAATAGATTAACCAGATACACACGTTATAACATAGACACTACAATGCCAATGAAATGTGAACAACAGAATTTAGCTTTTAAATAAAAACTCGGTAAAGAAGGTTACGAAGTTGGGGTCGGGATCAATTTTAGAACAGCTGAGTAATAATCATTTACATTTGTAAAGTGGCGCATTTAATCCATAAATCCCAACGCGCCACCACCGTGTATGGAAAGCAGGAAAAAAACAGAACGTGCAGGGTAAACAGCCAGGACTCGGCGGTAGAGTACAGGCGAGTTGAAAGAGGTGAGATTTCAAGACAGACTTAAATATATTCAAATATATTTCACGACTCTGATTGTCTTACTAGCTAAAGCAAACCATTCCAAAGTTCGGGAGCTGCACTGAAAAAAGCCCCATCACTCCAGTACAATAAGTTCACTAAAACACCGATATCTGTTGGAGGGCCTAAACTTTAGAGCCACGCGAAATGAAAATCCCATGGAGTCGTGAGTTTATCAAAGCAGGCTTACCGTAAAGCACCAATAGCCGAAACGGCCCTTTCATATTTCACACGGGCAGCACCAAGTTCTTGAATTTCCACTCATCCGGCCTGCCTGGAGGTCGACTGGTTTTCACGATGCGCACCACCCGAGCTCACTCGGACTCATGGCAGCGCCGTGGACTTGGGACTGTGTGATTAACCACGCGCCTCCTTAATTGATAAACCCTCGTCACTCATTAACCAGGAAGATACGGAAAACATCGTTCAAGAGATGCGCTGGGCTAGTGGGGGTGGTCAGAAACATATGGGCGGAACAGGAAAGCACACTAAGCGATTTTATTAATTGTCGCTACCAGGGTTGTGGCTTTTATTTGAGATTCAGCTGTCATTTGTCTCGTTGTTTTACGATCTCCAAATAAGGTTGAACGTGTTAAATTCCATATCTCTGTCCGTCTGTAATGGGAGAAAGGCATGATAATGCTTGTAAAGATGATCCATACTTAAGTATTAAGTTGTTTCCTTCTTATGTTTAGGGGTTTAACTTATAAACAACCGGCTAAGTTTATCAAATGGTTTGCCTAAAACTGTCGTGCCGCTTAGAGGTAGATCTTTAATTTACCATGGACCCTATTTAAATATACACTTACAGATACACTTAATTAATTTCCTAACTCATCTCAACTCGCAAAACCCATCCATCCAGTTCACCATGGAAGTGGAGGTGAATAAAACTCTCCCATTCCTGGATATTCTGCTTGGGCATGACTAAATGGTAAAATAACGCGCAAATCCTCTCTCATGAAGATGCTCATATATCGGGCTAAGGAAGTGTCAGATGGTGATAGTCTGAGGAGATTAAACATGTCAAAGAAACGCTGCAATTTAATGGTTTGCATGATGCACAAATTAATAGGGCAGTGAATGCCAAAATGAAATCAAATAGCACAAGTGCTGAAATTGATCAAACAATATATATTTTTTAAATACTGTTCAATTTGGGAGTAACTAATAAACTCGCCATATTTGTGGAAAAAAATAAACATCCGATTGAGATTCAGCATGGTACATAAAAATACAAAACCTAATATCTAGTAATAAAGCTTACAACAGAAGGTGTGTACCGGATTAATTTATGCTGTGGAAAAATCCTATGTTGGTCAGACGGGACGAATGATAAACATGAGACTAAAAGAACACCAAAGAAATATTAAATATACTCCCAAACACAACTGTCGGCAGTTGCAGAACACTCATGTCAACTGGGGCACTCAATTAATTTTGATAATGTTGAGGTTTTATGCAAAACTAGTTTTCTGGCCAAGTCTAATTACGGAATTTACAGAAATTAAAGGCAGCGTGATAGACGTAGCACTAGCGCGATATTCAAAAAATAGATCTTCGGTTGACGTATGACGACCGAAAGTCAACATCAGTTTTGGCCGAAACTGAAACCAGACCGAAAGTAAGAAAATTGACTTTCGGCCGAAACCGAAAGAATGCCGAAAGAGGCCATTTGCCAACTTTCGGTGCCGAAACCGAATTTCGGTCGGTCTCTACCCTACCCCTCTGTTCTTCGCACCTGATTGGTTCACAAGTTCCGACATCACATTTACCTCCTCCATTTAAGTTCGAAACACAATTCTTGAATATGAAACGTCATATTCGAATTGTTAATGTGGGTTTACTCTCCAACACCGGTGTGCTGAACTCATGACTAATTGGCACGTTTTGTTTACGTGACAAACTTTATCAATCATACTGTGTCGGGTGGTGGCGGGTTTAACGTTCATATTTACGCGATCTAACTCAATCAAAACCATATATTATGGATCATGGTGCAGGCTAATGTGGCCACGTGTGTCCCTCAGGAAGGACAACCCGCATCCTCTATCACCTGCAATGGCTTAATTAATGGCAGTTCAAATGAAACTACAGATTAGGTGGAGTTCGGTTGTCTAGTACTGCCACTCAGGCAGCGGTAGATTGTAGCAAAGAAAACACCGCTTAAGAATAGGTTTTAATTTTTCGTGCAATGAAATAGGTGTTAAAATGTTCAACCACCAAATAGATACCTTTTGCAAGGCATCAAGTTTACATTAATCACACGTACTTGTGGCAAAACATGCAAACAAATACGCTGTAATAATATACGCAATATCCTTGAAACTGATTGGCCTACACCAGAGACAGCCTTTTTTATGGCCTTGTCTCACCACCAGTGTCAGCAGACCAGAGAACATGAAAAGACGAACAGTGCGAAGGCAATTCAAGTGAAGAGGAGATTTTAGATGGTTAAGCAGGATCTTTATTAGCAAGGCAACTCACACCATACTCCCACTCATCATCGTAAACCAACCCCAACCCTCCAAATGCTCTCCCTTATAGAGTTCGTCTTCCCCCGTTTTTTAACACCCATTCCCTTCTTGGGCTTTTCGCCCTTGTTATAACCCTCCCAGGGTTTTCCCCCCCTTTCCAATCCTTCTCTGGTATTCCCCACTGCTAATCCTACTGGGGCCAATCCGATCAGACTTCCTCCACTCAATAATTGGATTGCGTGTCGTACACGGCAGCCCTCCCATGACTCGTAACCCGTGGTTGTGTGATGTTTGTGTGTGAGGATGTCCCGAGCATCCTCTACACAAGTATCAGAACACTTCAAGCTCGAGTGATTAATGCAGACTTCATTCCTTGCAAAAGAGACATATATTTGGTGTTTGAACATGTTAATACCTCCTGGTTTTTTCCCAGAAAGGGTAAAACCTATTCTTATTTTTCATCATTTTTTATTCTCGGTAAAAAGGTCCCGTAGATAAAGCACGGCTTCTCTACATTTTCAAGCTAAACGCTTGATGTATTGCGAAATGCACATTAATACTTTTGTTGTAGAAAACATTGAATAGGCTACGTCCAGAGACTGATGCTGTGGATAAGAGTTGGTGAGGTATTGATGGGACACGGCTAGCGTTGTACGACCCCAAACGTGCTGGCGACTGAAGTGCACACACCTCAGCTGCTCTCAACCTCTCGCTAATAGTATCAGAGCTCCCTCTACCAGACCCTTTAGCAAATAGCAATACAAAGGTCCCCCGTATAGCCTAACAGACTGTTGGTGCAAGTGCTCTTCGCTAGCACCTATGAAAGCCGGCACTGTAGCACACGAGGGAGTGGATGGTGAAAAAGCTATACCAACTGGCAAGCATAACATTTTAAGGAAACACGAATCAATTGTTTTGTTGGTTCATTGGACCTGTGTAGTGACACCAATACACGTGGTGCCTTCTTAAGAGCCTTTTATTCAGACAGCACGAACGATGGCCAGGCTTGGTTCATGAGATGAGCTCCGTGTTCTTTCCAACGTTCCCTCTCCTTGTGCTGTCTCCTTTTATACCTCCCAAGCCCCCCTCTCTGTAAGCTTCAACCACCCCACTCCCTTCGGCCAATCCTGACCCTTCCCCACCAAAGGTTCTCAACTGTTCTTCTGCAGTCTACCCTTGCTTCCCGCTTTTTTACCTTTAAAATCTTTCCTCCAATCCCTTTCAATTTTTGCTCCCGACCAACCACTGTGAAGGCCTCTTTGCACCAATGGGAGGCCTTGGACTACTTTCTGATTGTTGGTCTGACCGTACGCTTGTGTCAGGTAAGCGGTCTGTTATCTCGGTCATTACATACGTAAAAAAAATCCGGAACACATCAGTGGCATAGATGCCGATACAAATGTTTTATTTTTTATTTAAAAAGCCGAATATCGGGGATCTACAATCCAACCCTGCACCGTCCTCCATCACTCACCACTCGACTCGGAACTGGCCAAGCCCAGGACCTATGTCATGTATTGTTCAGTTAATAATAATGATAAATATTTACATTTACAAGACACATTTAATCTGTATACATATCCCAAATTGGCCATGTATGGAAAGGAGGAAATAAAAACAGAATTAGGGGGTGGAGGCCAGTTTGAAGAAGTGAGTTTTCAATACAGACTCAAATACAGCTGATCACCGATAATTACATGTCTGTGTGTGTATGTGTGTTACGGGGAGTAATTACAGGGTGAATATTTACATAGGGGAGTTATGAGAATAAGGGAACCATCTGGGAAGATCTAGAGAGGTCGAAAATGGGGTTGTGGCCGAGGGCGGAGTGAGGGCCACGCCTTGGATAAAAAGGGGAGATAGGCGAGGTTCGGGGCTGCCGTGGGATCGGGGTCGACTGTCTTCACGCCGTCGCTGTCTCCACATCGTCGCTGTCTTTGCGTCATCACTTTCGTCGCTTTCGTCGCGTCTACGCTGTCTTCGCCTCGTCGCCACTCGCGTGTCATCCCTGACCAAGTAATCCACGTGAAGCGAACTAAAGCAACCCTCTACAGTTCGTGTTGTCCGAGAGTCATTAAAGTTGTAACACGCGCTGTGCTGGTCTACCTGCATCTCAAACTGCTTACAAATGATGCTCGCATAGTTCTGCTTCAGATGTTTAGCAAATTTGAGTACATTTTATCTTCATGATATGGGCAATACATTGGAGAGCCAGAATAAACCCACCGCGTACACAAGGAGATCCATGCCCAAAGTCCACACGGATAAGCCTAGATTTAAAACGCATTTCTATAGAACTGCTTTTCGTGTTTTTATTTTATTGTCCTTCCCCTGTACCTCACTTTGGACGACTTAAAGATAAAACCATCACCGAACATGATCCTATTGTATGCACCAACTCCACCTCCAAAGTGCTTATTACGTGGGCACGTCACAATTCTCGAATAAATTAAACTCCTAATTAACTCGTGTACATTGGTTTTAACCGTGTTGTTTTAGTGCAATGTGCTGAAAGTGCTCAGTCTCATACATTCTCGTATGTGGGATGGTGTAATTTATCGTAAGTTTTCTCTGTGGACGGCTTCAGAGGCTGTGAAATGAAAAGGAAAGATAATTGCATTTTTGTTGATTAATTTGAGTTCATCGCTACAGGTATAATGTACAATTTCGTACTGAAATCAAGTTCCATTTTCTCCCAGCTCAAATGTGGGTGGCATGGTACTACTCTTCTCCATTGGTTGGTCCCGAAGCATGGCTATTCTTCCCCACAAAAGCAAAGTTTGTGGGGAATAATATAAATTTTCTATACTTTTTAGGCATGAGCAATTAAAAAATAACTCTTACTACTCGGGACAAAAATCGTGTTACATAGTGTATTCACTGGGCAAAGACCCCGAGGCCGGCCCAGGACACTCTGGCGAGATGTCGCTCGGCTGGCCTGGGAACACCTGGGAATTATCCAGGAAGAGCTAGATGCTGTTTATAGTAGTGTATATTAGTGTATAGTGTAGTAGTGTTTTGTAATGTGTAGTCGTGTATGTTAGTGTATAGTGTCGTAGTGTATAGTAATGTATAGTAGTGTATAGTGGAGTAGTGTATGGTGATGTATAGTAGTGTAGTGTATAGTATTCTATAGTGTAGTGTATAGTGTAGTAGTGTATAGTAATGTAGTGCTCGAGTCTGTCACCAGGGAAATGGAGGACTGGACCAACCTTACTTAACACGCTGCCTACGGGACCCTCACCAGGACAAATGGATTGAGACACGAATGAACGAAAGAATATTCAATGAAGGCATCCTTACTTAGCGTGAGGCTTACCTGGTAGTGAACGCCCTCTTGGTTTTGTGGGTTCTGCAATGGCGTAGGTATTAGGTGGCAAAACGCACGCAATTAGATGTTGAATGTCGGTACAAATTACTCAAATGTTAAGAGTGGATTATTATTTTCTCCGTGTGTGTCTGTGCCGGTGGTGCAAATGGTTTGCAGCACTGAAATCTGTTTGGCCATGGTTCAATTGTTCGCGGTGAAATCTGAAACTGTCCTGGACCTCCCCTAGGTCAACGCTGCCATAAAATAAATGAGTGCATATTTCTATTTTACCACTGGGGAGCTGATTGTGGTGCTAATCACCACTTGCACCTCATCCCAAATAGATGCTCACTTTACAGTTCTCTCCATGGCAGTCTATGATTACTAAACAGGGCATTTTTATGCATGCATAAGGACAAAGATTCCCCCGTGTGGGCTTCACAGATTGTTGTAGCAAGTGCTGTTAGCGAGCAGCACCTATGAAGGCCAGCACAGCACACGAGCGGATGGGTGGCCAACACCACACTCGGCCGCCTTTTACTCCCTAGCGGTGATGTTCACACACCATTGCACCAGGTACTCATTTGACGCTGAGTAAACATAGAGGAGGCCAAGGACTGGTACAGATAATCGTTACCGGTGTTAGCCGCGAGCGGAGATCGGATGGTCGGGTTCATAGAGTAGCGCGCTAACCGCCACACTATAGGAGTGTGTTCAGTAGATGGCCGCCGATAATTTTAAATCGCGGTTAATCCAAAAAATATATACAATTTTCGGCGGATCTCAATGCTAAAATCAAGTAATATAGGTAAAGTTAAGAAAATACTCTTTAATTTAAGAAGGAATATCGACCCGATCGATGCGCGGGCTCAGTAATAACACTTTCCTGCTCCCACCAAGCAGAAGACTTGACCCACTAAGTGACATCAGAACCACGCCTATCAACATCAATCAAACTCCACCCACTGTTGTAAAGATATGCAACTACTGTAGTGTTGGTGTGATTACATGAATTTAGGATTACTCAGAGCAGATATTTTTGTTCAGTCTAAGCACGTGAAATGTAATAAACATTTCCAAGAATGACAATGTTTAACTGGTTTTTAGATTATTAATGTAGGTATTAATGGAAAATCCACGCGTTAATTTACGTCAAAATCTCAGGGGCGTGGTTAATCCACAAATCAGATAAACCACACGCGAATAATCGAGTCTACTGTATGTACGAACACACACACATGGATATCACATTGCTCAGACACTGTTCATGGCCGAGGCAGGTAGTAAGTTTAGCTTATAAATTCACCCACCGATTCAGTAGAATTCAGGTTGTTCTCATACAGATGTTCTCTGTGGTTGTTCCTAAAAATAGTTAATATATTTTTTTCGCAGATTAATGCACAAAAAAGGAAAACCTTTAAGTAATTGATCATTAGTTATCCGGCTTCCAACATTATCAGGTGGTCCCTGGGCCGATCCAGCGAACCCGGCAAAACCGCTCCAAAGGCTGGAACCAGTCTGGCCATCAGCACCGTGCGCATGACAAAAATGTAGTTTTGCTTGATTTCAGTGTCAAATATAAAATATGGTACATTATACACTACATACCACTTCAACAATTAAAATGCTGTAGGTTAAAAAAAATATCTAAGCAAAGCGCCCACGCTTCGCTTCTTTGTGAGCCCACAAGATTTGGAACTCTCCCTTGCTCGAAGAAACTGCTCCTAATCGCTGAGATTATTTCCAATTTAGATATAGAAAACTATAACAAGGTGGAATGGGGGTGGGGAAATGCCAACCCCCCCCCCCCCCCGCGCCAAACTGGATACCTTTATACATTTATTTTCAGTAGTTTACAATTAAGATTTAAAAAAATTACATGTAGCCACAATTCCTAATGTGGGGGACAAAGCGAAACCCTGTCCACCTCTCCCCCTAAATATAAAAGTCAAACTCCGTCTATGCTAAAAACCTACTCACTTCGCCATACGTTAAGATAAACTTAGAAATTGTTTTTATTTGTACTGCACTCAGAAGCCCCTTTCTGTTGGATCTACTGTGCCTCTTAAAAAAGAAAACGTAAAATAAAAAAAGAATAATAACAATAATAGATCAGAGTAAACCCATAACAGGATTTCTCCGCAACTCTGACTGTCCCCTGATGATGCTGGTTGTTGTTGTAATTACCAGCAAAACGGTACTCGAATTGTCAATGTTGTAGTGGGTTTATTCTCTAACACACAACCGATTAGTGCCGAACTAGTAACGAATTGGCATGTTTTGTTTACGTGACAAACCTTACCTAATTGTCTGTGTCGTTGGTGGCGGGTTTAACGACACATTTATATTTATGCTAAATATAACCCTAAAAAAACCTCTATCATAGATAAAAGTCTGATATTTCAATCGACATAACACTGTTTGGAATGCTTGTACATACCAGTTGGAAGTGGTTTTTGCATGCGCATTGTAGAATTCGGCACTGCCAGGGGGTGGCTGTTGTGACTCCAGATTGTGGGATGGGAATTTCCCGTCGATGTATTCGTACTGATGATGGTCGTCCTGCTGCTGATGTTGCTGCTGCTGAGACTAGGCATGGGGGGTGGGGTTAGAAGGGTCAGCATTAAAAGGAAAACATAGTTTAAAATGTTAACCATTCTTTCCCAACGATGTTGATTCACTTCGATGCGACGGATGAAATCTGCTTTTGTACAATAAACATTTGTTGTACCTATCTATAACTGTTGAACCCGAGCTTATTGATACTTTGATATTGGCATTCCTTCGTGCCATTTCGCCTTTTTGCATTCTCTGGCCTAACACTGGTGAGACGACACCATGAAGGAGTCCATCTCTGGCGTAGGCCAATCATTTGATCCCATTAATCTCCTCTAAGACGGTCACCAACCGTACGCCCAAAAAAATCCATTCAGTCTTCCCTGACAACCAATCCGATTTGAGCGTTCTCCACCTTCAAATTCCATTGGGCATGCTCTAAGTCAGCTCCTCCCCCCTCTGACATTTCCTATCCAATGAGAGTTTAGCATTTGCGTTGGTGAGATGTTAACTACCTCGCCTGGTATACAGGAGGTCATGGGTTTGATCTGGATCCTGACACCTACTGTGTATTTGGAGTTTGCATGGATTTTTCTCCGAGTTCTCTGCTTTTTCCCTCCACAGTCATAAAAGTGCGTTTAGAGTATTTGGCTGCTATAATTTACGCAATGATGATAAGTCACTTCTTTGAGCTGAAAAAAGCTAAAAAGCTCAGTGGGCCTTACCTGGTAATATAAAAAGTTTAGTTAGTTTACAGTCGAGTGTGCTATTTGAACTCATACGGAGCTGTTAAATTGGATAAGTAGATGCCTATTTATTTATTCCTGAATAGGATTTTCTTCTTGGCAACCCTCAAACCTTACAAATGTTAAGCAACTATAGGAAAGGAACAGTTTATGATGATGAAGGTGGTGGTGTGCGTTTGAGTTATGCTCGTCAAGTATACTGATTGAATGTCACCAGAACATATTTGCAGGTACTTATTCATGTATGTATGTTGAACTTCTTTCGCACCATACATAGCCAACCATGCTAATCGGAGGTGCGAGGGAAGGACAACAAAGTACATGGAAAAAAAAGTCCCAAAGAAATGAGTTTGTCAATCTAGATTATTTACAGGTGTCATAGCTCCCAGTGGCTTCCTAATCTCAGTTCATGGTGGTCGTGCATCACAGCCCCAACCTATTTCCCAACAGTTGATGGATGATGCTCGTGCCGGTTTTATCTTGTTGTTCCACTGCTTAATGTGTCTCCTGAAAGTGAGACTGATCGAGCACCACACCAAGGTATATTGGGAGTGCATCACGGGGGATGATCTTAGCACAAAACTCGATCTTCAGTGTACCATTTGCCTCCGCGTTGCTGAGATGGAATGCTGAGGATGGTGTCCTGTTTGGTTTTGGCTTAAGTTGCCAGGAATATAAATAATCTTCCAATTTCTTTAGGTCAGTGTTCAAGATATCTTGAATGGCTTTGCTTGGCTAGCCAGTTCTAGATCATCAGCGTAAATGAACTTGCTGCTTAATGTGACCGGCATGTCGTTGGTGTATAAAAAAGAGAGAGTGGCCTGTAGTTGTGCGGGTCATCATCAGGTTTTCCTTGATTAAGTAGAACAATGACTTTTGCTTTTCTCCAAAGTCTTGGTAGCCTGCTGGTGGCGATTATTTTTTTTTTAAGTTTCACCGGCCAGGTTCTTCATTTGCTGCTGAGATATTTTAGGAATTCCGGGTAAATACCATCTTTTCCTGTGGCTTTACCCGCCGCTAGTGCGGCATCTATTTCTTCTGGAAGTACAGCTGCAGACACTGGAGAGTTTTGGTCACTGGTGGAGAGTATATCTGTTGTGGCTTGTTTTACAGCGCATTCTTGTATTTGACTTTCGATTGTTTTTGCATTGTCGAGAAGCGCACAGCTATCCCATTAGCTGTTTCCTTAGGAGTCCAGGTGGCGCTCCGAGCTTCCACAGTAACCCTCATTCTCTGCGGCTGGAGTGCGTGAAGTCAAAAGACTTCATTAACGCTGCCCACTTTGCTCGTCTGGCAGAATCTAGCCACTCCAGAAGGACTGTTACAATCTCTGGGTCACTCGCACTTTGATGTTCTCGGAGAAGGTTTCCACTTTCCGCAGTCCATCCGGTAGTGTAGGACCTCCAATATCCCTGCGGAATCGCATCTCTGGCGGCTTTCTTCACGAGCATGATGAACTGCTCAAAACTTTCAGGGTTAGTAAGATGTGGTGGATATAATTTTCCACAGCAGCCATAAAACCAGGCCATTTTGCCAATCCGAAGTTCCAGCAGAGTCTTAGTGTGATTGGTTATTACTCGGATTTCGTCGCCAACATGGATGATCACGGACTTGTGCTGGCTGTGTGGGAACCAAGGCAGAACTTTGCACGTGGTGGGCAAAGGCTAAGCCATTCTTAATCTGTAGTAACAAAGCACAGGTCTGAGTTGTATTCCATTGAGTAGAGTGGAATTTGCCTTGTTGCTTGGCGTCAAAAACGAGGACGGAGCGACGATGAGTTGTATGCCTTATGGTGTCATCTGGTCCAACACCAGTGGAGACTAGGCTATAAGAAAAGCCGTCTCGGGTGTGGACCAATCAAATTCAAGGACAGTGCATATCATTATCAGAGTTGTTTCTTTTTATTTGCATTTTTGACTGCTTGTGTTGTGGTTATTGCAAACATGATCCCTTGTATAAAGGTGTCAGTTTTTTTCGTGCCAGCTAAAAGGGTAAAAACCTATTACAACAATAAAATTCTCACGACGTTTCGACTGCAACACAAGCAATCTATGTGAATTTACCGAAAGAACCAAGAATATGAATCCCTGCAGTCACGAAAGCTTTAAATCAAAATTTAGTTTCATAGTCTTGAATTTCCAGCAGGGCTGTAAAAAAGGGCGGCGAGCATCGCGACACTTCGACTCTCCTTTTGCAGCGGCTGAGAATTGCTGCAGCTGGGAATCACTCCGGTTGTTAATCGCTGCAGCTGGGATTCAGTCCGGGTGGGAATCGCCGTGACTGGGAATCACTCCGGCTCATCGTCGTTTGTGTCGAGCATGGACGCCGCTTACCGGTCGGTGTGTGGAACTTTCTGAAGCGTCTCTGCCATGTCGTCTCTTGCTCCTGCAGACAAACGTTAGACATTGATAACAACAAAATCCCGAGCCGTGCTGTCCACGGTGAATCTTGGCGGCGCACGGTTTCGTCACGGTTAATACACCTACACCTGCCTCGGTATGTAAAAAAGGGCCGCTGCTGGATTCGAACCGTGCAACCTCTGCAACAGCAGGGGGCGAATGCGCTACCCGCTGGGACACATTGCCGCCCATAGCACCATTGATGGCTGTGCAGCAATGGCTGTAGAGGTCAACATTGATGTATTTTCTGATATTGTAAACTCTTCTTCCCATGAAAAGTCTACGTTTGTTTTTGTTTACTTTAGGAACCTTTTTGACCTGAATACCAGGAGGTCGTGGATTCAATCCCGACCCTGAAACCTGCTGTATATTTGGAGTTTGCGGTGTCTCTCTCCCAGTGGTCACGTGCATTTTTTCTGGGACCTGTGTTTTTTTCCCCTCTTTATTTAGAATCAACATCACGCGTTTAGCATATTTAGCTGCTGTCCACATAACATGCCACTTTATTTGTGATAGCCAGGTTGCTTCTGAAAAACTACTATATAGCTTATTGGGCCTTACCTGGTAAAATACAATAAATAGGTGACAACACTGCTCTGGCGACCATCCTGTATTTTTTGCTACATTCTGCTTCAAGCAGTTGGCAACACTGGTCCAACCAACCCTCTTGTCCATGAGCAGGAACACACTCATCACCTTGATCTAAATCAATCATTGGGAACTCACGTTGCTTGAATCCCCTTCTTCTTCAAGCAGAAGAAGAAAACGGATCCAGCCACTGCAGCCAAAACCAAAAGTGGCACAATGACGGCGACAGCTATGACCCAGGGCTCTATACCGCCGCCACCACCACCATTATCACCACCACCTACAAAAGACAAACACATCTGCGGGTCATTTTTAATCTTACATAGATGTTAAATTGGGTAACAGTACAGCCATGCAATTTGCTCACCCACGCCACTGCTGGTGGAAGCGTCTCCCCCCTCCTTTTGAGAGCCCCTCCTGATGGGTATGTTGGCTTACTTTTCTGCGCCAGTGAGACGTCTTGGTGGAAAGGTGGGGAGTACCCACACTTTACCTCACCGCACGTGACGTTGCCAAGCGAATGCCCACTGACACTGCCCCTAAACTTTACCCCGGATACGCCCCTTCATAATAAGGCATTATGTAATCCAGCTATAACCTTAATTACCCTGACAGGCCAGCAGGTGTCACCCTGTCATTACACGTGTAGAGGAGTGAAATACGCGGAGTGCACAGTTAACTGAGGGCAACTGAGGGCAAACAGGTGCGCGTGTGCAACATGGAGTTGCACGGACAAACCGCCAGTTGTTAAGGGGTGAAGCAGGTGCAAACGGGGTCGACTGGTTGTGCACGTTGAGACTGGAGGTGTTGCCAGGGAGACGGGAGTTAAGGGTTGATTGATGGGCCGACAGGCGCCGGCCTGACAAGAGTTAAAGAGACGCTGCTGAGTGCAGCATGAGTGACGTGGAAGGTAGACAAGAGTGGGGAGAAGTTAAACATAAGTGACGGGATAGATAGTTATAGGATTGCCTACAACTGGTGCAAGAATATGTGAATAAAGTGTAAGCAGGTGACTTGTTACAACGTGTCGGTGTGAGTAACACACTACACATGTATAAAATATATGTCTGCCTGATGCAAAACCACCAGTTCAAAATAACTGCAGCCATTTTGTCAGAGACCAAGCTTTTGAGAGTACACGCAACCAGAGCTTTGTGTGTGTTTGTTTTGTTAAATCTATTTGCTTTTCTGGCCTGCCCAAATGTTTTTAATGTGTTCTCATGATTTACAGACTTCACACCAAAGGAAAAACAAACCTATGAGGGGCCGGTGGGATGTCAACAAAGGAAAGCAGCTGCTGATGTATCTGCGCTGATACCTGGTGTTGTGGCTGCCATGGGCATAGTGGATATAGTTGTTGTAGTAGCGGTGGTTGTAGCAGCCGTAGTTGTACCTGACCGGATGGTAATGATAACCACCGCCTCGCCCCAGCCCACAGAGTTATTGGCCCAGCAGGAGAACGACCCAGAGTCTGACTCCACTAGCGGCCGCTCAAAGGACAGGGAGTTGCCGCTCACAACCGTCCCGTTGGGCAGGGAGCCGTCTTGCCTAAGAGCAACCACACCACAACACGGGGAGCACGACACGTGGTCATTATCGTGTGATTACACTGCTGCAAAAACTGCGAAGAGAAATGTAATTAGATGTACAGTATGTATGTTGAACTTCTTTTGGACCATATAGGTAGCCAACCGTGGTAATCTGAGGTGCGGGGAAAAGAGAACAAACTAAACACAAGCAGTTCTAAAGAAATTAGTTTTCAATCTAGCAGTATGGCAAAACATGTTGCATAACAGCCACGGAATAGGGAGTGGAAGAACTACATCTAGTCACTGTTTGAGAAAGGGCTGTAACAATGGCAAATACAGTCGCCTCGCGTTTTATGCGCGTTTATGTAACGCGATTGTGAAATAGCGCGTTTGATTAATTTACACTTAATTTAGTTTTTCGCGCACTATCATTGAAATGACGTGCTCTACCGCGTTGGCCATGGTGTACGGGACACGCTTGCGAGCTCATCGTTAGTCAGGCAGCAAAGTTCAGTAGCAATGCTGCCTGAAGTGCAGCAGTATGACAACAACCACAAGCGTGGGAAGCGGCATCAGCATCTCATTCTCGTGTGCTATTTTGAAGATCTTGTCGACGTGAACTTTTCCTGGTGCACACATTCGATCACGCCATCATCTCCATTACCCCCCTCTCTCTCTCCAGTAATCCCACCAATTCTCTCCACTCCTCCCCTCCACAAGCCCCAGTTACGCCGCCACATTCAAACATCTCACTACGTGTACAAATATTTTTGTTTAACTTTATTTTTTTTTTAAATAGGATGTCATTATCTGTAATACATGTATGGTAGTATTGCAAATATAATGTATGGTAACCAGTGAAATATGTGGATGTGAGAATGAGGTTCTATAGTCTGCTCTATCCTTAACTCCAACCGAGTTACACGCTATAAAACAAGAGGTAGCTGTATTGACAGTTTCTTGTGGTCCCTTACCTGTCCCAAAGGTAGTGCATGATGTTTGGGTTCGCGTCTGCTTCACAAGTCAACGAAGCTGCTTCCTTATCCACGTACCAATCGCCGTCGTAGCCAGCGATGCTCACACTTGGTTTGTCTGCGAATGGGGGCACATGCACAAGTTCCTACATATTGCGCGAGTCGAATTCACGTGCAAACTTCAGTTATAAAAGTGGTGGAGAATCACTTGAGGGGTATTCAGGACAAAAACAAGAAACCAATTTTGATTCACTCTTATCAGAGGCAACTGTAGATTTCACAGAAACTTAGCCAGGGGGTTATCCACTGCTACAGGACGTTACATCATTACTCCAATGTATCCGCGTTTTTTTTCTTCAGCAAATACCTCACGTCTCAAAGATCTGGGGCAGGGGGCAGTTACAGTGCAGCGCGCTAATCACAGTGTTACCCCCCCAACATTATGATGCTCATTGTTACTCTTGCATGATGTACGTATGTATGTTGAACTTCTTTCTCACCGTACATAGCCAACCGTGCTAATCTGAGATGTGGAGGAAACGTCAACAGCCTAAACACAAACATCTATTCGAAATAAATTCGTTTTATATCTATAATAACAAAGTGGAATGTCTCGAATGGACTCAGGGCTGCCAATGGATATGACCACCAATCTAAGCATATTTAAACAATCGCGACAACCAGACTTTCTGACTCATTGATTTATCATGCCCACCACTCACAGTGGATGTCGAGGGTGGTCGAGAGCTCCACTAGAGGTGGCTTCAGCGCCGGGTGCTCCACCCTGCAGGTGAGGGTCCGCCCCTGGCTCTCTTTCGTGGGCTCCATTCGGTACTCGCTCCTCACAGTCACCTTGCCATCAGTCTCCATCTCTGTGGTCTCGGTGGAGCTGCCCTGATGGAGGCCACTCCAGGTGATGGAGGCTGCGGGTTGTCCTTCCTGCGCAACGCACGTGGCCACGGTCACCAGCCCCATGCCATCGACCAACTGGGATGGGTTCAACTCCAGGGAGACATTCGGTGGAACTGGGGCACAGAGACACAGGGACACAGTAAGATGGAGGCAGAGAGACAGAGACACAGAGATGGTTAAATGACAGTTAAGTGCTACTCTACTGTGTGGAGCAGAGGTCACTTAAAAAGATCTCGGAGGTAGCTCTGTGTTATGTGGACTGTTCACTAAGAAGGTACACAATAACTGTGGGAGATACAAACTGATTCTTATACAGTGAGGGAAAAAAATATTTGATCCCCTGCTGATTTTGTACGTTTGCCCACTGACAAAGAAATGATCAGTATATAATTTTAATGGTAGGTTTATTGAACAGTGAGAGACAGAATAACAACAAAAAAATCCCGAAAAAGGCATGTCAAAAATGTTATAAATTGATTTGCATTTTAATGAGGGAAATAAGTATTTGACCCCCACTTAATCAGAAAGATTTCTGGCTCCCAAGTGTCTTTTATACAGGTAACGAGCTGAGATTAGGAGCATACTATGCTCTTTGGTTCTATTCGGTAAAGTCACGTAGGTAAAAAATAAAACAACAAAAATCACGACGTTTCGGCTACAACACAAGCAGCCTTCATCAGGTGAAGAGATCAGGCTGTCTCGAGCACAGCGCTGGAGTGAAACACAGCCACTCCAGCGCTGTCCTCAAGACAGCCTGATCCCTTCACCTGATGAAGGCCGCATGTGTTGTGGCAGAAAGTCGTGATTTTTCTTGTTTTATTTTTTACCTACGTGACTTTACCGAATAGAACCAAAGAGTATGGATCCTTGCAGTCACGAAAGCTTTAAATCTAGAATTAGGAGCATACTCTTAAAGGGAGTGCTCCTAATCTCAGCTTGTTACCTGTATAAAAGACACCTGTCCACAGAAGCAATCAATCAGATTCCAAACTCTCCACCATGGCCAAGACCAAAGAGCTCTCCAAGGATGTCAGGGACAAGATTGTAGACCTACACAAGGCTGGAATGGGCTACAATGCCATTGCCAAGCAGCTTTGTGAGAAGGTGACAACAGTTGGTGCGATTATTCGCAAATGGAAGAAACATAAAAGAACTGTCAATCTCCCTCGGCCTGGGGCTCCATGCAAGATCTCACCTCGTGGAGTTGCAGTGATCATGAGAACGGTGAGGAATAAGCCCAGAACTACACGGGAGGATCTTGTCAATGATCTCAAGGCAGCTGGGACCATAGTCACCAAGAAAACAATTGGTAACACACTACGCCGTGAAGGACTGAAATCCTGCAGCGCTCGCAAGGTCCCCCTGCTCAAGAAAGCACATATACATGCCCGTCTGAAGTTTGCCAATGAACATCTGAATGATTCAGAGGACAACTGGGTGAAAGTGTTTGGTCAGATGAGACCAAAATGGAGCTCTTTTGCATCAACTCAACTCGCCGTGTTTGGAGGAGGAGGAATGCTGCCTATGACCCCAAGAACACCATCCCCACCGTCAAACATGGAGGTGGAAACATGCTTTGGGGGTGTTTATCTGCTAAGGGGACAGGACAACTTCACCGCATCAAAGGGACGATGGACGGGGCCATATACCGTCAAATTTTGGGTGAGAATCTCCTTCCCTCAGCCAGGGCATTGAAAATGGGTCGTGGATGGGTATTCCAGCATGACAATGACCCAAAACACACGGCCAAGGCAACAAAGGAGTGGCTCAAAAAGAAGCACATTAAGGTCCTGGAGTGGCCTAGCCAGTCTCCAGACCTTAATCCCATAGAAAATCTGTGGAGGGAGCTGAAGGTTCCAGTTGTCAAACGTCAGCCTCGAAACCTTAATGACTTGGAGAAGATCTGCAAAGAAGAGTGGGACAAAATCCCTCCTGAGATGTGTGCAAACCTGGTGGCCAACTACAAGAAACGTCTGACCTCTGTGATTGCCAACAAGGGTTTTGCCACCAAGTTCTAAGTCATGTTTTGCAGGGGGGTCAAATACTTATTTCCCTCATTAAAATTCAAATCAATTTATAAAATTTCTGACATGCGTTTTTCTGGATTTTTGTTGTTGTTATTCTGTCTCTCACTGTTCAAATAAACCTACCATTAAAATTTTAGACTGATAATTTCTTTGTCAGTGGGCAAACGTACAAAATCAGCAGGGGATCAAATACTTTTTTCCCTCACTGTAACTATATAATGGATCACCTTAGCGAGAGATGCCACGCCCCAACGGTACAGAAAGCCTGACGGACAGATGGATTACTGAATCTATCTGTATGGAACTTCGAGCATTATCCCCTCGTATGTGTGGGTATTCCTCGGGTACTCCGGCTTCATCCCACACAACTCCAAACACTCACTTCAAGAATTGGCCAAACATCCCTGCACAGGACCCTCCCTAAACAGATATCTAAGAATCAGAGACTTTTCTGGGTAAATAATGGCAATTGTTACTCTTGCACAATGTATGCCTGTAAATTGAACTTCTTTTGGAGGTACGGGGGAAGGACAACAATCTAAACACAAAGGCAGTTCTAAAGAAATGAGTTTTCAATCTTTAGTAACAACGTGGAATATTTAGAATGGACTCATGGCTGCTTATGGTGATGATCACCAATCTAAGCTCATTCAAACATCGCGACAACCGGACTTTCTGATTATTTATTTATCATGCCCACTACTCACAGTGGATGTCGAGGGTGGTGGAGAGATTTACTGGAAACTCGAATGCTGGGTGCTCCACCCTGCAGGTGAGCGTCCGCCCGTGGCTCTCGTACTTGGGCTCCATCTGGTAGCGGCTCTTCACGGTCACTGTGCCGTCGGGCACCACCTCTGTGGTCTCACTGGAGCTGCCCTGATGGAGGCCACTCCAGGTGATGGAGGCTGCGGGTTTTCCTTCCTGAGCGACGCACGTGGCCACGGTCACCAGCCCCATGCCGTCTATCAACTGGGATGGGTTCAACTCGAGGGAGACGTTCGGGGGAGCTGGGGCACAGAGACACAGAAACACAGAGATGGTTAGATAGCAGTTAAGTGCTAGGCCTCTACTGTGTGGAGCAGAGGTTACTTAAAGGGATATCAGAGGTAGCTCTGTTATCTGCTTCCGTGGGCCGTTCTCTAACAAGAAGGAACACACAACCCTTTCCCATTCCGATGTTATACGTGTAGGTCATAATGGAACAATTACATTCTGATTATGTATATGTACAGATTCGGAATAAAAACTAAATGAAAATAACTATTAGTTCTGAGGCTTCCACAAGGCAATGAGGGAGGGTGTGTGGCACAGTTTGGCACCATCTATCATACGGTTCTCTGCAGTGAGTACAATGCTTGAAAACAACGAGACTATGGCTTTGAAAGTCAAATGAACACTAACCCGCTTGCACGTTCCAAGATTCAGTGGTGAACGGGACCTCACCCTGCAACTTGCAGACGTCTCGGAATGGGAAAGGGTTAACTGTGGGAGATCCAAGCTGATTGTTCATCTCATGACACTTATCGCACAATTGAGATAACATTTGGGGGAGGGACGAAAATGGATGAAGGTTATGTTTGGTGTGGCTGTTTCATGGTAATATTTTGTCCATCTAACATTTGGTTTAACTGGGTGGAGTTGTGGTCAGTTATTATGACTCACAGTTGGAAGGTTGTGAGTTTAAATAGTGGTTAGAGGTGGACTCAAGCTCATGTTTCTAGGCTTGAGATCATCCTTATTAGCCGTGGTCAATCCACCCTGATGATCTCGTGACACAACAATCCGAGAGTAATGGTGGAGTGGTAGCCAAGGAAGATAAAGTGTCCGAGATGCCTCCACCGTGGAGATGGAGCCGTTATCATCAGATCGTGTGCGGGTGTGCCAAGGTGGGCTTGGTGTATATGTACCACTTTTTTTAAGGTCATCATTGGTCTCCCTCTAGAGAGACTGGTTCCACAGCAGATAAATATGTTCACTGGTGTTTTCGGGTATCACGTAGAGGCGGATCTCCAAATTTCCTAAGGTGGCGTTACCATGGCGCGCAATCCGCGCTGTGTGAAAAGTGTTCCCGGATGGTAAGCCACGTTATGGCGGCAATGCGTCGTGTTAACACCACCACGCGTTATGCGAGGACTGCACTGTACTGGTTTCTCGTGGTCGAGTGGGGGACGGGGAGGGACGATAGCCCACATCCCTTAGGTCCTACCACCAGTACCACCATCATGCTCGTGTCAGCTGGGTGAGCCTCGGACTTTATAAAGGATTTGTTTAGAACAGCGTCATAATAACAAGGGAACTTTTCACGGAGCTTTTCCTCCTGGGAGATACAAACACGCTTGTAGTAAACGGAGTCATTGTTTAAAAATGTGGAACTGCTAAGTAGTGGAGTGTGGTGGAAAAACGAAACCCCCTTCCCTCTGTCCCTGGTCTCCCCTTAGTATGTTAGTTATCTCCCCCCCGCCCCCCTACGTGGGGTCCCCACTTGGCTGGGGCTGCCGGCCCAAGACCCCCTCCCTCCTACGTAAAGTCCCGTTGCGCTGAAGTGAAATTCTCGCGGATTTTATATCCCCCCCCCCCTCCAATATTCGTCAGCGTATTGTACCGGGGTCACGTTTTGTCGCATTAAAAAAATCTGCCTCACCGTTCACAGTGAGGCTGATTGTTGCTTGAGTTTCGACATCAAGTGTGGCAAAGCTGCAGGTGAAGTCTCCCTCGTCCCCGAAACGGAGGTCTTCAATGCGGATGGATCCGTTCCTCAGTTCAGAGGTTAAGTTTGTGAAGTTGAGTCGCCCGTAGAAGTCGGTGTTATTTAGAATTCTGTAACTGCTGGGAAGGGCAATGGCGATTCTCATTAAAGAGTCTCCATTTACCTTCCACCAGGTTATACTCCCAGGTATGTGTGTCCCCGTGTAGACACATCTCAGGGTGACCTCCTGCCCACGGTTCACATTCACTAACTGATCCACCTCCACTTGGGAGGTTCCCAAGGTCACCAGACCTGCAGGGATAGAACAGAGAAAGCACAGTCTATATGTAAAGGGTTGTGAAGTACACAGCAGTCTGTAATTGTTATCTAGAAACCCCATTAGAGACCGGTCCATCATACTGTTGTCTTCAGACCCACAATAAGTAACTGTATACATTTTGCTTTGAATAGTTGAAAAATAAAAATTGCATATCATGCAATGCCCGTATGTTAAAACCATCGTATATTTTTTTAGGTTTAAGAGTAGTATGTGGGTAAAACAAACTACGATTTTACTTGGTAGTACTGGAAATTTGTAATATCTGCTCATCTTTGCTTCACAGACATGATCACACTTATACCTTAATTCAACTTTCCTTCATACTGCATTGTATGTTTTAAAGTTACACTGATATATCATTGTTAGTATGACTACAACGCTATAATGAGCTCCTATACCCCTATGAGCATTTAACACGGCATGAGCCTACCTCCATAAGATCATGAAAGCCAAGCTGGTTAGAGCCTGGATAAATTGGTTAGAGCCTGAATGGGTTATCACCATCTCGCCGTCGTGGACATCTCCTAGCCATCATCATCATGGTGGCTAGGAGATGTTAACTACCTCGCCTCGTATACAGGAGATCGTGGGTTTGATCCAGACCCTGACGCCTGCTATATATTTGGAGTTTGCGTGTTCTCTCTCTCTCCGCCCGTGGTCGCATGGATTTTACCTCTGGGTCCTCCAGTATTTCCATTCACATTTGGTATCATCATGCATTTAGAGTATTTGCCTGCAATAAATGTCTACTTGATAAACCATTTAATTTACCTATCATTTGTGGCCAGGTTACTTCTAAATAAGATCTACACAGCTCAGTGGGCCTTACCTGGTAAAATAAAAAGTGTATAGTGTTACCATGCACAACAATCTGTTGTTGTAGGCAGTGGTTAGCAGAGGGCAGTGTTGCAAATCCATTGTTGTCCTGTACTTCCCCCACCTTCACCAACCCGTAGTGACTAGAGTGGTGAAATATGATCAAATAACCATCACGACCCGAACGGCGTAGGAACAGCCTCATCCAGCAGTGGATCGAGAGACAGGTTGTTTGTGAACTCCTACACACATGGTAATGTTGTCCCTTCTCCCGGAAAGAACATCGCATCACATGATTTGAGATGCACTTCTGTGGCCATCTGGAACGCTCTTCCTTCCAATATTAGAAAGCCACTGGAGCGATGCACTTGTTAAATCAAAATGGAAAGCTAATTTATTCATAACTGCTGTTTGTGTTTAGTTTGTTGTCCTTCCCCCGCACCTCCAATTAGCACGGTTGGCTATGTACAGTGCGAAAGAAGTTCAACATAAATACAAGAAGTTCAACTTACAGGTTGCTTCTAAAAAATAGCTCAGTGTGCCCTGGTACAGTCCAATAAAATTAGTTTCGTAGTTTAATTTAGTTTCTAGTGAGCCAGGGTATGTCGGCTCGACACCCATGGGTAGTGAGTTTCACATCACAACATTTCTGTGATCCACCAACCCTCGCCCCCTCAACAGTGCTGGATTGCACGTGCATAGCCACCACCACTGCTTTGGGATGTTTGGTCAATGCTAATTAATGGGAGTTTTGGCTTCATGCGGCAGCAACGAGCGAACCAGGAGATGAGCCCCACCGCACATTATGAGTGGACGACACTTAAGAATATATACAGCTGGGTCATAAACCAACATCCTCTACAAACAGCTACTATCCACCTCGTAAGCTACGGTGGGGAGGGGGGTTGGAGTTAGCACCCAGGGTGATCTCTGTGTGATCTAAATACAGCTGTGTTCTCATATAATGCGGTAGTAGTTGCGTTCCTGAAGAACACGGCGTTATGATAAAATCGCGCTATAATATATAATATAGGGGGTAAAGCACAGTCCACAATAACACGTGAGATGCGTACATAGGCTGAACAAAGACTGAGGCACGTGGGTGTATCTAGAAGCATCCAACAGCATCACCCCTTGTGTGATGCTATGCCCAGGGAGCCGTACGGCCACTTATTCCTACTCATGCGACGTAGTTCCATTCACTTAATCGGGTGATATACAATTCGCATCTGCGTCATTAAAAATGTGTTCCCGAATACATTAATCGCGTGATATCCAATTCTCGTTATGAAAACAACACACGTTATAGGAGAACGAACTTTACTGTGATAATACAGCTCCATCACAGTCATTAATTGTCACTCAATTAAATCTTAACGTAATCAGATATGATAAATCCACTTCTGGATGAACGCCTCCCCAAGCCACCACCATCTGTCACGGTCCAGAGATGGAACAATCCACCTTCAATAGATTATCTAGGTACACACGTTATAATATAGACACTCGGTAAAGAAGGTTAGAAAGTTGGGGTCGGGATCTATTTTAGAAAAGCTGAGTAATCATACATTTGTAAAGTGGCGCATTTAATCCATGAATCCCAATGCACCACCACCATGTATGGAAAGCAGGAAATAAAACAACCTGCAGGGTAAACAACCAGGGCTAGGTGGTGGGTGAGGCCACTTTAAAGAGGTGAGCTTTCAATATTTCCAAAATACATATCACGACTCTGATTGTTATTAGCAAAAGCAAACCGTTCCAAAGCTTGGGAACTGCACTAAAATAGCCCGATCACTCCAGTACAATAAGTTCACTAAAACAATTAACGATATCTGTTGGAGGGCCTAAACTGTAGAGCGACGCAGAATTAAAATCTTTATGGAGTAGTGAATGTATGAAAGCAGTCTTACCGTAAAGGATCAACAGCGGAAATTGACCTTTCATATTTCACACGGGCAGCATCAAGTTCTTGAATTTCCACTCATCCGGCCGGCCTGGAGGTCGACTGGTTTTCACGAGCACTCATAGCAGCACCGTGGACTTGGGACTGTGTGATTAAGCACGCACCTCCTTAATCGATAAACACTGGTCACTCATTAACCAGGGAGACAAGGAAAACATCGCTCAAGAGATGCGCTGGCCTAGTGGGATGGGTCAGAAAAATACAGGCGAAAATGTTCAGCACACTAAGCGATTCGACGAATTCTCACCATCATCAGGGTTTTTACTCCTATTCGAGATTAAGCTGTCTTGTCTGTTTTTTTACGATCTCCAAATACGATTGAGCGTGTTTAATTTAATATCTGTCTTTCTGTTTGTAATGGGAGAAAGGCATGATAATGTTTGTAAAGATTATCGAAACTTAAGTATTACGTTGTTTCCTTGTTAGGTTTATGGGTTTAACAAATAGACAACCGGCAAAGTTTATCAAATAGTTTGCCTAAAACTTGGAGAAACGATAATGCCAGCCGACACGATTGGAAGACGGAATCCAATTATACTAATCAGCATCATCATACAAGGGAATTATTGTCAGGGACTTCACACGGTGAGCAGCGTAACATCATATCGTCTTTAGCAACGGTCTCAGAAAGTGACGTCACAAGATAGGCGACCTTGACGTGTCACCATGGTAAAGATCCCATTGAAATCCGAAGGTGCGATGCATATCATGCACGTGACCATTGCGCCGTCTGTCGTGCCACTTAGCGGTAGAGGTATAGTTTACCATGGGCCCGATTTAAATATACACTTAAGATTAACTTAAAGAATTTCCTAAATCGTCTAAACTCGCAAAACCTATGCATCCAGTTCACCATGAAAGGGGAGGTGGATGAAACTCTCCCATTTCTGGAAATTCCGCTTGGGCGCTGCCGAAATCGTAAAATAACACAGTATTTACCAAAAGAAAATGCACACTGACGCTTATCTGAATACAGTGACACCATCACCCCATGCAGAAAATCGTCTCTCATAAAGACGCTCATACATCGGGCTAAGAAATTGTCAGGTGGTGAAAGTCTGAGGGGTAAGAAAAAACATGTAAAAAAACGCTGCAATTGAACGGTTGCAATGATGCACAAATCAACAGGGCACTGAATGCCAAATCAAATAGCACAAGTATTGAAATATGTCATGCAATTAAAACTATTAAATACCGTATTGCGGGAATAACTGATAAACTAGCGAGATTTTTGGATAAACAAACCATCCGCGTGAAATTTGGCATGGTCCTTAAAAATACAAAAACGAATATATGTTATTTTGATTTAAAGCTTTCGTGACTGCAGGGACTCATATTATTGGTTCTTTCGGTAAAGTCACGTAGAAGGGAAACAATAAAATAATAAAAATATAAAACAATACAATTCTCACGATGTTTCGACTGCAACACAAGCAATCATCATCAGGTGTGAAAACCACAGCAAGAAATTTTGAAAAAAGTGGCGGTTTTTTTTACGTTAGCAACACGGAGAGCGATTTGACAGTTTGTTCAGATGGACGAGTCCATCTATGTTCGGAAAAGAGGAGGGGGGAGACGAAAATAATGGATGCGGTCTGAAAGCCACCGTAAGCGTGAACAAGCAATTAAGACCAGAAATGGTTGATCAAATCCTTCCAATGATTGCTAAGCCAGAATACATCTTCTCGGTTGAAATTGTCTCTGTGTTTGTATATGTGGATAGCCTCATGAACGAATCTCTCATGGTAGCCAGATGGCTTGCAAAGAATCTGTGTCTTGGAGAAGTCAATGTCATGTGAGTCTACTGAATTATACAGTGATCTGCCACGGCCGAGGTGTTGGTCCTACCGTGTTTTAGGTCTGCTTTGTGTTCACGAATACGGTCCGAAACATGTCGTTTGG